CTGGGATGGAGCCATCTGTCCTCCTCCTACCAGCTGCCTCAGAAGAGGTTTTCTTCCTCTGGGTTCAGTGCTCTATCTGCCAACCTGCTTCCTTGCCTGCATGTAATTCCTTTTCACATAGAGCTACTAAATGAGTTGTTGAGTACAAGGGAGGTTTAGGATTTCTAGGTGATCCATAAAAATGGATCATAAAAAATAAGGGGTGGGGGGGAGAGAGAGCGATTTTCTAGGCCAAAATCACCATTGGAAAAACAACCTTTACCACATTACTTTGGAATTTTGATATGGCCCGTTTTTATAAAATAAGAATGTATTCCATTTCCAAATACAGACAAAAAAGAAAACAATAGTGCAGAGTCCCTGTTCTTGCCACACTATGCTGTACATTTAGCACACAAACATATACATGCCGCCGCTATGGATTCACAGAATTGTCCTTCTGCAGTGTTACAGCTGCATGTCGATACTACTGAGCTGTTCTAAGGTTAGGCTCAAGCTTCACTCTGATATATACCATAAGCGCACGGCTAATAGCCTAAAGATCTCACTAGAGGCAGTTAAGTGCAGGCATGCCTAACCCCCACTGAGAATTAGATTGGAGTGAGTCAGACCTAAGAATGATGTGTCAGCGGTCTTCTTGACAGTTGTGGGTTGCATTCCAGCCATGCTTTGCTATCAGTGAGACCGGCTCACAGAACACTTATAGTTGAGTTTCTGTAGTGTAGTGGTTATCACGTTCGCCTCACACGCGAAAGGTCCCCGGTTCGAAACCGGGCAGAAACAACAACAGATAGCTTTTTTTCCACTCTTCTGCCATCTGCCTTATAGAGGCTATAGAATGAAGCTTTGGTTGAAAATTTAGTTTGAAAATGCCTGGTGTTGTATAGATTAGTTTAAACAGACAAATCATCACTGTGCTTGAATTACACATCTCTTCCATTGTTTTCTAAGGATTATTTGAATTTATAAATTCGTTAAGAGAAATCTGTCATGTTTTGATACAGGACTTTGTTCTGACATTGAACAATTACATTAATTGTACTAGCATTCTGATGAAGATCTGAAAAAAAGAAATAAAATATGTGAATTTATTTTGTAAAAAAGATGTATGAATTTAAAGAACTTGTTAACCATACAGAGAGCCTCAGCTATTGGGTGGTATAAAATGTAATAAAGAAAGAACTTGCAGTCATGGTTTTATTACTTCTACACAATCAACTCTGAATACAGACTGATTCATTGAGTGTGTTCACTTACCAAGTCGATCACTTATTTGTTCATGCATGAAATCTTATGCATGTTTAGACCAAAGACCTGCAACTCACAGCATTCTCCAGCCAGCGTGTCTTGAACATTTTTTCGGTCTAAACATGCATTGGATTGTACTGAAAAGCTGCAATCCCAAAGACACTTTTATTTATTTATTTAGAAGGCTTCTATGAAAAGCTGCAATCCCAAATATACTTTTTAAAATTAATTAATTAATTAATTAATTAGGCTTCTATGCTGCCCCATTCGCCGAAGCCTCGGGGCGGCTCACAATAATAAATAAGGACAGTATAAAACTATAATATGAATCGACCTGGCCCGAAAAATAAAATAAATAAATAATATCAACAATTAAAATAGCGTTTGAATACAAAGGTCTTCGCCTGGCACCGAAAAACAAATAACGACAGCGCCAGGCGGACCTCTCCAGGCGGACCAGGCGAATGGGGAGCGCATTCCATAGATTGGGCACCACTGCAGAGAAAGCCCTCCTCCGAGTATGCACCCTCCTAATATCCTTCATAGAAGGTTCCCGGAGGGTTCCCGGAGGAGGGCCTCTCCCGCTGATCTCAAGGGGCGGGCGGGCGGGCATATATGAAGAAAGTCCTATTGAACTCAGTGGGGCTTACTTCTGAGTTGTCATCCTTAGGCCTGCACTATAAAGTTGTAGTCCTAAACCTCACTGAAATCAACAGGGCTGATTCTTGCCTAAACATCTAATCAACTCAAGTCACTTCTCCCTCCAATATATTCTGAAATTATGACCCTTCCTGTCTGACCTCTTGAAAGCTCTGTTCTATGATCTCACCTATCACCTTGACGACGCCTACCTTTTGTTTTTGACCTTGATCCCTCTCATTTCAATTCACGACTCAGCTGCCCAGCATTACTGTGGATGATGGATGTTGTAGTCCTACATACAGAGGGCAGCAGGTTGAGAAAGGCTGCTTTGCACCCATAAGCCAGTGAAACAAAGCTCAGTTTATGTGACTGAGTGAGACACAGTGGGTTGATTCCAGACCAAGCTAGCTGGACTTGGATGCCAAATCATTGAGTCAATTTAGCTGTGCCCATACTCCCATTGATTCCAATGGGAATGAACAGTTCAGTCTGTTTGTGGGGACCAAGAAGTGGATCTGTCATCTCATTCCTAGCTCTGCTTCTGCTGGCCAGGGCAGACTGGGGCTGTTCCTATCATAGGACAATTTGCTGCAGGTTTTTTAACCCCTGGTGGGCTGTCATGCAAATTATTTACCCCATGGGGAGGCTGCAGCTCAGGTGCCTACCCTTTGGAACAAGCTGTGTTGTGTAAACCTGGCTTCTGTGAGGAGGGTTAAAATCCTTGCTCCCAGGGCTTGCGCAACAAGACAACCCCCAGTGGGGGCTGCATATACCACCTGCCACCCATGGACATCATGGCCCATACAGACCACACAATCTGGCTGTGGAGTGCGTGGCAGGCGCCATCTGGCTGTTCAGTTCAGCAGAGCTGTGACACACACACTGCCAGCAGTGGAGAGAAGCTTGCTCTGCCAGCCCCAGTGCTGGTGCATCCGTCATGGCCTCCGATTTGGTCAGTCTGGGGGAATGGAGAGGCTCCAAATTCAACCACAGGATGCCAGCCAAACAGAAATGCTTTCAGCCCGAAGTTTAAAACATTTTTACAATCTCAAATACAGTAAATGCTCAGAGACTTTCTCTGCTTGTTGCTTTGCACATTTTTAGTTGTTTAATTTTTATAGGAGGCATCTAGATACTGTAAATAAATATTGAAGGCATTAAAAAGACCAAGCCAGACACCTTGCTTCTTATCTGAAAGAAAACCACCCTTCCTGGAGCAAATTCTATGAAAAATTCTATTAGACATACAGAGAACGCATCCTGAATTTCAAGCTGCTCTACAACCTAATCCATTCTGCTTCTTTATCTCCAGGGACTACATTCTGTTCCTTATTCTGCTCCATACATTCTCTTTTCTTGAGAAACTTCACTGAAATAAAAAGGCGTTTACATGGCTATTTTCCCAGTAGGCCTACTTGATAAGAAAATATTTGAAGCCTGAACATTTTCTATAAAGTACCTAAAGTACCAATAATGTTATACATAGCTGACACACAGGGACATGTAGTATTTTGCAGCTAAGAGTTGATATTTGAAGCACTGAAAAATTTGAAAGATCTGCCCTATTAAGTGTTCCCCTTCATGTTTTAATAATAAAAATAAAAAGCTGTTCCAACTGAAGAAGATATGAGGGAGAAGCAACTCTGACGGAAGTTTTTTTCCCCTTTCCCCTGTTCATTTTTCCTTTTATGGTGCGTTCGTTTACATTGTAAGCCTGTGGCAGAGTTGTTTTAATGATCATATGTAAACTGCTCTGGGATATTTTTTTGGTTGAGGAGAGGGGGAAACATATTTTAAATAACTAAATAAATAACAGACTGTTACACTTACAAATTTTGCTTCGTTAATTTTATAGGCATGTAAATTAATGGCTCACATTTTATAGGCTCGCACAAACCCTCCCCTCCCCCGTCTTAGGACAACTGGCTGTCAGGTGTCACAAACGGTCCTCAGCCCCCTGCATAAAATGGGATGAAAGTCCATATAAATGCAGCACGACTGCCGTGCTATAAACTGCTTCTATGTAGTCAGAACATCAGGTACTTCCTCCAAGCACGCTAACATTACTGGATGAAATGAAGGCTAGAATTCTAGACTTTAGCACTCCTCTAGCACTCCTAATCAAAACGGGTGGCCAGTCTATACCACTTAGATAGGAGTAAAACACCCTGAACTCAGTGCAACCTACTTCTGATTATATAGTAGAGAGCTGCCATCCTGTGCATACGGTGGGGCCAGTGTATGATCGACTGTACAGCTACAATAGTTTGCCAAGAGTTCAGAAATTAATGGGGCTTTCTTCTGAGAATGTCTGAGCAGGATTTCATTGGTAGTAGTATTTGCATGGCAATGTAGAAAATTGCTGATAACTGAAAACATGAAACAAAGAAAGAAAATGGGTGAGATGAGTTTTGCAGTTAAACTGCTTTTCCTATCATTTCTGCATGAATGGGGAAGGTCCCTGCATCCTTGAGATGCAGAATAACATCTCAGGAACACTCATACCTTTTAATGACACTATAGTATTTTATCCCTTTATGCCAACTCTTTTCACATTTTGGTACCTTTTTATTTGCCAGTCATTTTAATTGCTTACTTGTAGCTTAATTTTATGCTGGCGTTTATTATGTCATAATCAGTTGCTGTGGATCACTTGTCCTTTTGTTGTTATTACTATTGACTTGGTTTATGCGGTTTATTTTTTTATTAGTATGTATATGTTTTGATTTTATGTTTTTGTTGTTTAAAACTTTAAATAATAAATACATATACACTGGCTACCTTCATATTAACTGCCACCATCACACATGACACTTCTCCATTTTCTTCCACTTGGAAAGGGGGGGAAGAACACCCCAAAACTCCAGTGAAACGTGCATGATCAGAGGAGGTAATAGTTTCCGCCAGATTGGAAGAGCGACCTCACCCCCTTTTTAATGGCTTCATAAAAGTTCGGGTTGTACGCGGAGCTGGACCTGAGTGAAAACTATGGACCTCACCAACTAGCGAGGAAGAAAACGAACATCAGCAAGCTGATTCGCTCTACGTCACACCCAACGCTATATAAAGAGCACTCGCCGCGCTGGCTTCTCAGAAGGGCTTCCAGCAGGTGGCAGAATGGCCCACGGACAGCGGCGGGGAAGCTCGGCTTCGGCGGGACCTTCAAGCACGGGCTCTTCTGAGCTGGGGAAAAGGAAGAACCGTCTTTCTGGTTCGCTGTCTCATCTTATTCTTCAGACCCTCGAAGCCCAAAATCTGTCGCGAAAAGGTTTGTCGCTGGCAGCGCTCAAGAAGTTGCTCGCTGAAGCTGGGTACAATGTAAGGAGGAATAACAGCCGCCTGAAAAGGGAGCTGCACAACTTGGTTTCTAGCGGATTATTGGTCCGCGTAAGTGGCAGCGGCGCGTCGGGCTCCTTCAAGCGCAGCAGCAGTCGGGAGAGAAAGGCCACGGGCAAATCGCAAAAGGGGAAACGCAAAAAAGCGGCGGGCAACAAAGAGCCCACAAAGAAACCCAGGAAGACGCAGTCAGCGGTTAATAAGCCCAAAGGTCTCCAGAGCAGAACATCAGCTGCTCTCGGTAGGAAACGCCTGCTCAACAAGCATCCCTCAGCGGAGCGTGTCTGCTAACCAACCTCCTCCCTTCGCCGTCACCAAAAGGCTCTTTTAAGAGCCACTCACGACTTTGGGGAAGGGCTGGCGCATTAGCGAAGGCCCACACCTTTTCTCCATCCGAGGCTTCTACAATCTAATACTTAAAAAAATCTTTTGAAATTCGAGTATTCCTCCGGATCTTTACATTGTTTGACTAAGTTTAGTTAAGCGTGTTGCATGCCATATACGCTGGTGTACGTTCACTGAGCTGGGTGGTAATAATACTGACCAGTAATTTTACAAGTCTCGTGGAATATTAGAATTAAGAAATGAAAATTACCGTTTTGATTTTAAACTATTTCAAAAGAAAATCATGCTTTCTTCCGTTGAGGCAAATGACACAAAAGTTCCTATGGCTCGATTCTTACCGTTTATTTTTTTTCCACTGGTTACACATTCTTTGAAACTGCAAACTTGAATAAAAATAAGCCTCAATTAACCCAATTGTCAAAACAAAGTATTCTATTCTATTGCAAGCTTAAACAGGACACTGAGGGGCAAAGAGATTGTTCTGAATTAAACACAATTTCCAAACCTAGAAATAGACTGATTTCAGCTGCAGTGCCCTTGTTAAATAATTTTCAGAAACTAAAATTTAATTAGGAGTTTTAACTTCTTCCCAGCTTCCTTGTATGCAAATTTATCAGCCCTGTGATCCAAAAAGTACATTCTATATTGCTGAGGAGCCGAAGCTGTCTGGGCTGCTCTTAAGATACAGCACAAAATAACGTGTAAAATTTTAAAAATTTAAAACTAGAGTATGAAATAGCCAAAAAATAAAATAAACTCTACCAACAGTACAAAGATTTAAATAAAGGATTCCAAGCAACCAAGACTGACACTAAAATTCGGTTTTCAACCAACGTCAACAGCCAGGTGGACCACTCCGGGGAATCCATTCCATCACCGGGACTCCATTTCCACATAATAGGACAAGGCCTAAACACTTTCTATTATCTTTTCTCAAACTTATTTATTCTACACCATTTTGACTCAAATTCAACCCCGTGGTTTTTACGCAGAACTAAGTCCACCAAATATAACGGCAACTTATTTACAAGCAAACACTGTATGTAGGACAGCAGCATTAAAAAATGGGACAGCCAACAAGCTCCTTCCTTCCCATTTTATCTAAAAACTACTTTACCCCTATGGACACATCGCTTACAACAGTCCTGCATGCGCTCTATTAAGAACAGCCGAGCCGCCCCTGAAAAGGGCCTTGAGGGTCCGCTACTCTATACCGCGCGGCCAAGTCTTTACTTGCCGTCACTTTAGCAAGAGCTTGAGTCACTTGAGTCACTTTAGCAAGAGCAGAGACTCAGCGATCCAGCAGGTAGTCCCAGCTTTCTTTCGCAAACTCGCAGTCTAATGCTAGCTAGGCGGCAACGCGCTCTGCGCAGGAACGCCTTCTTCCATCGGAGACGTTCCCCAGAAGTCTGCACCGCCAGGTGGAGATAGCGCGCTATTTTCCGGCTCTTCTCGTTGCCCCAACAGCGCTGCCGGCCAGCTTTCGACAGGGACGTATTCAGGAACCGTATCCGAAAGCTCCGATCCTACCTACGCATTTCTTTTTCTGAAGCAATCGGTGCACTAGGAGCGGCCACTCTTGCAGCCCGGGCTTGCCCTTTACTTCTGATCTAGCCACAACCTAATCGTACGACGTTCTTTGCCTACGATGGTGCAGGAATTTTAAAAAGCACATGCCTTTGCCTAATTTTATAGTCCAGAAAATGAAGCCTCCTAAATATGATTAGGCAGAGCCCATGAACGACTACGGAAGGAGAGCCTGTTCTGTCCCATGGGAAGCAAAAACCAGTAAGATTTTTGCGAGATTAAATTGGTCTAAGATTTGCAGCAATAAAATATTTTTGCCCTAGGTTTTCAAGCAAATTCTAGCAATTTAAGTAAGAAAGCATGCATGGCACAGATTTTCTTTTCCTGGTCTGAGATTTAGTTTTCGTGTAGAAAGTTAAAACCAGAATAATCAGGTGGTTGGAGAATATTCTGGAAAGAAAAGGGCTACAAAATGGAGCCTTTTAAGTTGAACTGAAAAGGGAGGAGGAATGTGATAGGCATATCAAAGCATGCATAGTATAGAGAAAGTGGCCAGAAACACAGAAACTTCATAGCTCAGTAGGGTTTTGAATTTGTCCCAAGTCCTAATTCAATACTCTAACCACTACACCATACTAATTCTATAATGCAAAATAAAATAAAATGGCTGCAAAGGAGACTACCTGATTACCCCATGAATTCTGCCTTAAGTTCCATGAAGGAAAAAGCTGGAGTATACATATGAAATGTTCAAAAGACGAGTTCAATGTATCATTTCATATTTGAATATTATTATTATTATTATCATTATTATTACATTTCTATGCCGCCCCTTGCCGAAACCTCGGGGCGGCTTACAACATGATAAAATACATTGAAATACAATAGTACATAATAAATTACCATTAAATATAAAAATACAAAAAATACATTGATTTACAAATACAAAATTAAAATTATCAGTATAAAATAAAAATATAGGAGGAGAAAGAGAAGGAAGAAGAAGTTGCCCAGGCCAGATCATATGTTTTAACATCTAGGTAGGTTTAGCTTAGACAACACTTGCTCTGCGTCTAAAGTGTTTTCAGGCCTAGCCTGGAGGATCAAGTCATTGGATGAGTTGGAACAAGCAGGAATGTTCTGGCCCCTTTACATGACCACGTCTGAATCAATTCAGACATGGTTCTGTGTTGCGGCTTCTTGAACTAAGCCCCCACCTCTTTCAGCCCATGGACCCATTTGAAATTTTGAGAAAGTGTAGTGTCTGTTGTTACAAAATGGATGCCACTGGCAGGGCAGGCTCACAAAATGGCTGCCGTGGCAGCCCATCTGATCACAAAGCACGCATTTCACTGTAGTGAGTCTACAGGCAAGTGCAGGAAATTGAAACCGAGCCAGAAGTGAGGTTTTAGCCCCAGAACCCAAAACCTCTCTTCCTCCTCCTCATCATCTGTAGTAATATATTTCTATCCTACCTTTTTCTCTTGCAAGAAATCCAAGGCAGTTTACAAGATTCTTTTCCTTACAACAGCAGTCCTGTCAAGTAGATTAATCTGAGAGGCACTGACTGATGCAAAGTCACCCAGTTATGCTGTGTGGGGGCTAGAACCTGCATGTCCTGACTCCTAGTCCAACACTAACTATCCCATACTTTAAACTGGTTCTCCTCTCCGTTGGACCTGTTTTTACAGGATGCAAGCTAGTGTTTTTAAAAGAAAAGCAACTTACCATTCCTGAGTACATGGAAGGGGGGTGGTGGTGGTCTGACCACCAAACTGCTTTGAATCCACATTCCCCCCTCTCTGAGAGATGTTTACCTCTTAACACATGAAATCCACTCACTCTATACATTTTTCTCTTTCTTTGATGGTCAAGTTTGCCTCCACAGCTCAATATAGATTCCCTCCTCACTTTTGCTTTTCCTTGCTCTAAAACAACTGTGAAAATGGCTGGAGAACCTGGGAGAGACCGTTGGAGATGAGCTGGTGAAAGGGCCCGGGTGAAATTCCATGAGTGCATAATAAATGCCTTGTTCACAGAAGTCCATTACATTTCAGTTGTGCAAGAAAGTAGAATGAAAGTCTCATGTTGCTGCAAATGCAGTATATTACAGTTGTACAGTAGCACCAGCTTGTGTCTGGATAATGAAATATATGGAAAGGCAAGATAAAGACACATCCCAGAAAAACCACTATGTAAAGATGCACTCTTGGAAGAAGCTGCAGAAAACTGCGGGTTAAATGCCCCGTGTAGTTAGGTCCAAAGTGTAGGACTCAAATAATGGCAGAAAACCTGCAAAGTAACTATTCCACTTTTAAGAGATATTATCTATGTGGCAGTTTTTCCCTGCTATGTGATGACAGAAGTTGCACCACAGAGGGGGACCATTGAGAAACGAGAGAGAGGTATTGCACGCTCAGGGGAAACACCAAGGTTTGCAATGTGCATGCAGGCAAAAACAAAAACCCTTATAGTGACAAAGCAGCAACCCTAAAACAGTGAAATGCAGACTGAGCCTGTCCACTAGTCATGAAATGCTGTCTGGTGGATAAGAAAAACCAAGGAGATGAGCATCCCTAATACACAGACAGCAATGCTGCAATATTTTGTTGCAGTGCATCACACTGCCAGGCTTCTAATCACAAGACAAAATTACCAGTTGCACACTGCTACGTGGACATAGTAGTTATCTTTATTAAGCATTTTTGTGGTTCTGGATATCATTTGTTTGCTTTTTAATAAAAAAAATGCACTCTAAGGTCGTCTGCCTTGGAATGGGGTGACCCTAGCTCCTGCTGAGCCGTTTAGTACTGGAGGAAGCACTGGCCTTGAGCCTTTGCTGAGGAAAAGCCGCCTTCCCCCTGGCACTCCTGTGCCCCTGAGCTGCTGCTGCCTTCTTACCCTTGCAATAGCCAGTCTTCTTCACGTTGAGCTTTTCTTTGCTGTAGGGACTTCCCTGCCCCAGTGCTGAGGCCGTGACCTGGCTGCTGGGACACCTAGAACTTTTGGAAGTTGTTTTGCCCGCAGGCCTTCCTGCTTTCTTTGAAGACGATGCTCCTCTGCCTTTGGTGTTCCTGGCTCTCTTAGTTGCAGAAGCAGTCTGTCCACTGGAGTGGTGGGGTCGTTTTGTTTTGGACACAGCATTGCTACCAGCACTGACTGATCTTTTAGCAGTAGAAACGGCTCTTTTGAGGAGCATCTGCAATCTTTTCGCAGAGCCGCCCTTGCTGGTGGATTGTTTTGGCTGCGTTTCTCCTGGCTGCAGCTTCTTTCCACGAGCTTCTCCAATCTTCCTTCTAGAGCTCCTTCCTTGTTTGGCTTGTCCTCTTATGTTTTCTGAAGCACACAAGGTACTTTTCTCTGCTCCCGCCTTCTTTATCCCTACGATTTTCTCAGAGCTTTCAAATGTTTTGCGGTCTGATTCCAGATACTTTCTGACTACAAAAAAGGTGGAGCCCTTGCTCCGCGTCATACGCACCAAGGCCCCCTTTGACACCAGTGAGTGTAGCCTCTTCTTAACGTTGGGGCAGTGCTTGCTCACGTTGTAGCCCTTTGTGCTGAGCACTTCCTTCAGCTCTGCAAAGCTGAAGCCCTTGTCCGACTCACACGAGGCAATAGCTCGGACAAGGACCCCTGAGATACTAGGGAGGGTCTCAATCGACTTACAAGGAATCAGACTTTTCTGTTTTTCCATCGATCTGGTAGTTACTGTTGGCACTCCAATGAAATTCGTTGCTCTTTTCTTCTTCCGACCGGGCTCCCTTCCTCCAGGGTCTGGGGTCTGCGTTCCTGCAGGCACCATCACCTCCTGCACTGCCATTTCTTCTCCCGAGGTTGCTGCCACCGCCCCCTCCATTGCTCACCATCTGCTGCCTCTGCTGAGACTGAGCTCTGGGCCTCCTACCTGAACAATTTATGTCTCTGCAGCAAACACAATGGAACCCACCTCTCTAGCGTCTGTTACCAAGAGCCAATCACCTCGCTCTATTCTGTTCTTGAGAACTCTCCTTTCAGAAACCTACCCCGCCCACATTATTTTCATCCTATCAGAACAGCCATTGAATAGGCGCTATGTTTCCTTATCTCCCTACCAAGAAAATAGGCTTCTTTAAACCTGTAGCAAATCCAGGGGAATTATAGCAGCCCTGCATGGGAGCCACTAGCCTTCCTCTAATAGGCCCTCCTGCAAGAAGGGGGTCTTCAGCAGCTGGGAAGACAGTGACTAGGTTCAGACAACGCACTAACCCACAGTCAAGGGTTGAATATGGGTTGAGGTTCAACCATGGGCTGCTGTTGAAACATGGGTTATTGCATTGTCTGAACCCAGCCACCCTAACAAACAATGGTGAACAACCCACTGTTCACAATATGTCCACAAATCATGGGTTATTAGTGGTTCACAAGCCTTGGCTTCTTAGCATAGCTGGGTTCAGGCACATGATAACCCACATTTCAACAATAACCCACACACAACCCTTACTCAACCCTTGAGTGTGGATTATGGTGTTAATGCCTTTCTCGAAACAACTCTGCTTCCTGCTTACATGCTTGAGAACCCTTTAGAAATGTTTTTTCTTCCTGCTTCCATTTAAAGCAGGGGTGTCAAAACCTTTCAGCCCAAAAGCCAAATGCCATTTTGGAGAAGTTCTCAGAGACCACATTCCAGTGGTGGGCAGGGGCAAAGGCAAAATGAGGCAGGACCAAAGTACCAAAAATATCAGCAGACCTCTTACTTCCAAGCAACCAAGCCCCAGCAGAGGCACTGTGACAGTGCAAGAGCTGGGAAATCACCAAATGATCCATAGTCAGGAGAAAGGGCATGGCCGTCTGGGATGGACTTGGTAGGCACCCAGGTAGACCAGATTTGGACTGCAGGCTTGAGGTTTAATGCTGTAAAGGAAACAAGTATAAATCTCATCAGTCTTCATCAAGCTTTGGAAACCTCTCAGAGATCTTTGTCTATTGAGCCGTACAGAAATGAAATGATATGGAAACCGTGTTCAGTTGACCAACATGAGGGTCTCTCAATGTGTGTTAGCCAGGGAGGGGCAGAATTGCATTCACTGGCCCCTTCTCTGACCTTCACGTATTCTCCTGGTTCTTTGCAGGACCTTTCAGTGTTGATGGTGTATACAGGTCCAGCAAGCACAATTCTGTTGTTCGTCACCCACACCAACAATCTCATTTTGCTCTGAAATGGCACAATGATGATAATAAAAGTTTTATATAAAGAAAAGGAGCCCCTAATTTCAGCAACTGAAGACATGTGCCTTGTTGCTAGGAGTAATTGTATCATCATAATGTTGATTGTGATGCAGTCATCTGGGCAGTATCTCTGTCTGTGGTTCAATAAATAGTCAGCTGGGCTACAGGTGTGCAGATTAGCCAGGCTAGAGTTGGTAGGGGTGGGCAACCTGTGGCCTTCCAGATGTTTTGGACCACAACTCCCGCCAGCTTTAGCAAGCATAAGCAACAGTAAGAGATGTTGTGAGTTGTAGGCCAACATTTCTGGAGAGGCCCTGGAGGAGGACGCCATGTAAAGCACCCACAAACCACTGTTACCGAGGAATCACAAGTGCACATTAAATGTCCCACATAGAGAAGCCTTAGAAGTCCGGTCTCTCAGGCCCCTAAGAGTTTCTCAGCTGCTGGGAGGTTTCATCAATTTTATTGAATGGGAAGGTGGCATTACAAAGTGTAATCTTCTAGCAGAAATGTCAGCTTTAATTCACCCACAGCAATGGAGGAGCCGCTTGGATCGTTTTTCTCTCCTTGCAGCTTGTGCAGAAAGAACCGCACCAGCTGCTTCTCGGAGGTCATAGAGGTGACCATAGAGGGGTAGTGAAGAGCATGCTCTGGGGGTGGGAAGGGCAGAAATTGGGTCTGACAGGATACAGCCTATTGCCATGGTGCACCATCCTCCTTCCCACCCCATCTGAAGCGCCACAGCGAGGTGGGCAAGGTTGGCCATTTAGCTGATTGACAAGGTGGGGGCAGCAGAGCAAATGGCCTTGGTGGACCTTCCTCTGCACAGGATGCTCATAATCCTCCAAATTCGGATTCTGGGGGGCATCCCCATCAGATTGCACCCTGTCAAATTTATTGCAGCATAATCTTTCGTGGAGCCTCGATCAGATGCATGAACTCTGTCCTTCAAATGGCAAACTTAGACACACATGCTGGGGTTATGGGGAGAGATGTGAACTATACTGTCAGGGAACTCAAATGCAGAAATGCAGACTGAGAACTTTTGTTGTTCTTGCTGCAACAGTCTGACGCAGCCAGGTGCACATATAGCTGCCTGCACACACGATTGCTCTGTCCTGTTTAGCAGGAAGCTGTGCGCCTGCAAAGCAACACCGCAATCCAGTCATTTGGAGGGGAAGGTCCAAGCCCCATCCCTTCCTCCCCTGTCAGCTGATGGATTGGCAAGGTTCTCCCCCACTGCCACCACACAATGGCCTGTCCTTGACAGCCCTGCATAGTTCTTGCAAAATCAAGGTTGTGGCTTCCTTTATGGAATCAATCCATCGCATGTTTAGTCTTCCTTTTCTTCTGCCTTTGATTTTCCCTAGCACAATTGTCTTCTCCAGGGAGTTTTGCCTTTTTACAGTGTGTCCACAGGCCAACAGCCTCAATTTTATCATTTTTGCTTCTAGGGAAAGTTGAAGCCCTACAAGAAGGCTTTGTTGGAACTGGCTGAATGTTTTAAGATTCTTCTTAACTGTGTCATTTCGTGTGCCCTGTGGACAGGGAATACATCTGATCTCTGGTTGGTCCACACAATTCCTTTTCTCACTAAAATTACTGTGTGGTAGTCAGGATGGTTGGAAGATGTTTCCTCAGTAGGAGCTTATGGAATTTCTCTCTTGAGTGCTTTGAATGTGAGAGCCATCAGTGCTTCAAGAAGGTGAGCCACACATTCCACTTCCTCCACCTGGGAGCAGCACTTATGCTCTGCCTATATATTTGTCCATAAAGCAACTGAAATTGGACAGACCTGTTTGAGGCTGACATGTCGTGCCTCTATCTGATGAAGTGGACAGGGTTCAAAGAATGTATTTCATCAGCTCAATAAACAAGCTGTTTATTAATGTCTCAGCTTGTTCAGCTTGTGGACAGAACCCACAAACGCTCATTTCCATCTCGGAGGGCCAGAGCAAGCCCTGCTCCCCCTTTCCCAGTGTTTCCCCCAGGCCCCTGCTGCATCTTCCCGGGCAGTGGGTGGGCGCTCTGAAGAGGGCATCTGAGGCCAAGCCGAAGTGGGCAGGCTACACTGGAGAGCTCTGCTGGTGCCCCCATCCTGTGGCACCTGCCTCAGGGGAGCAGTGGGGCCACAGGGGCTTCTGGAGCCCTCTGGAGCACCATTTCCTCTTGGCTCTCCCTGTGGGCAAATGCCCCAGTGGGAAAGGGGCAAGCAGCACCACTCGCCTATGGCCTGAGGGGCATGGGAGAGCTGTTCCTCATGTCCCCACATGAGTCATATTCCAGTAGCTGAAGGACTTCAGAAATAAAGGAACCCAAACACAAGAGTTTAAGGACTTTAACATTGCATTTTTCAGAGAAGTAAAGTACAGCTAATTAAGAAGCCTAACATTTCTCATTTTATACACATGCTCGGCATTCCTAGTGTCTCATCTGCCTTTTCTGGGGGGCTTCACTCCACAAAGCATCTATTGTGTTCTCATGACCCCGCACTCACTGGAGTTTGTGGGGCCTTTTCACAACATCTTTGCCCTACAGAGCATCTCCTGTGGTTTCCAGCCTTTTTCTTTTGAAGCCTGGTGTTAAATTTTAAACTGCATCACATTGGAAGAAAAGCCTCCTGAGAAATTGCAAATCTGTTATGGTGCAGTGCAATGCTATCTTGTGGTTGGTTAACAGAAAACATTAAAAGGCCCAGAAAGTCATACTCTGGGGGGGAAAGCTGTGTAAAGGACCCATTTTTCCTCCTGCAAAGAGGGGAAGCAGCCTCAATAAATCAGTGGATTAAACTCCTCCTGCAGAGAAGCCAGAAGACTGACTGGGAGCAAAATGGTGAAGCCTTTATAAATAAGGAGAATAGCTCAGGAGCAGGTTATGCGTGTCGGGTATGGAAAGCCCCTCAGAGTATTCAAAGGTATTGAGGAGCCCTGCTGCATTTGCAGGATCACCCCAGGTGGTGGACAAACACTCCTAGGAGCTGACGGTGATATAACACGGACTTTTGCTGTGCGTGATGTTTGCATTCACCCATTTTGTCCCACTGGTTAAACAGGCCACAATTCCTGTTCTGTACTGAAGTCAACTTTCTGGGAAAATGCACTCCTGCCTACAGTTCTGGCAGAACTTATACAAGGAAGCATGAAAGGGATGTCAAAGGAGGTGCCCAGGTCTGCAAAGGGTAAGGTGTAAAGTACAGCTAATTAAGAAGACTAACATTTCTTAGGCAAATTTCTTTGCCCTCCGAATGGCAAAGGGGCTGTGAAGCTCTTGACTATGAAGCTGCATGGAGTTCTAGGGAAACTCAGACTCCATTCCTGCTTGGCACATCACTTCTAACATGTCAGCGTTACAAGGAGAGGACAACCGTTCCCCCTACATAGAAGAAGGGAAAAACTTTTTCCCCATTGAAAGAGGCCTGCACTTCAGTGACTTGGTTTCCCATGTAAAAAGTCACTAATTGCTCATCATAATCCAAGAAGACCCCGATGGTTCCAGTTGGATTTGGAGGGGGAGGCCTGGACAAGCCACTTTCTGCCCGAGAAAGCCACCAGAGACCCTTTTGCCAAATCCCTTCCTCGGGGGAGAGGCGGAGGTACTCTTTCCTTTTCACGGACTTCCGGGCCACCCCCACGGCCCACTCCCTCTGATTCCCATACACCACCTCCCAGTAGTGTTTCCCTGACGTGAACCCGGGAGACCCCAGCAAGCAGGGCGTGCTGTTGAATCTCTCTGGATTGTCAGGCACATGCTCCGGTCTAGGGACATTCTCCACCTTCTTGTTATTTTCCGTGACGGCAAGGGAGGGATGCGCCGTTTCTGGGTCGAAAGTCACGTCAGCTGCAGGGGAGACAGAAGAGCGGCCTGTTAGAAGCCAAGCCGAGCCCGGGAGGGAGTGTGGCGACGCCAGTGCGGGAGGAGCAAGCCCGTCCTCAGGGCCCTTCTCCAGCTCCCCTCAGCCCCATCTTATCAGGCCCATCCTTTACTCGTGTAGGCTTTCAGCGGTGCTGCAGCCAGGGCCTTTCCGCCACCTTCCTGCGCCGCAAGAAAGCACGACGACAGCCACAGGAGGAAGCCGAGTCCTGTGGAGGGATAGAGAGAAGCAAGTCACGGGCTTTGCGAGTGCTCTGCCATCTTTATGGTGGTTGCCTTCACGCCAACCCTGTGAGGTGGGTCACTATTTTTCCCTAGACTACAGAGAGAGTGAGCTGAGACTTGGCAACTCGTCCACTGCTGTCTCCAGGGGGCAGTGGGACCTGGCGTTGGTTGTGCTCTCAAGATCAGCAAAGAGACCACAAGTCCAGCACCAGTTGCGGCTCATTTTGCTTGGGGCACACAAGATGTTCAGGGGCTATGCAAGAAGTGTTCCAGCTTGCACAACCCCCTCTTTCAGTTTAAGGGGGATAATTTGCTTGTGCTCCCCCAAATCTTGAAGCCATCAGACACTGGGCTCACTGCAGGACACAAGGGTCCTCAGCTTGCTTGACTGTGGGTGGAATTGTGTCTATCATCCCCAAGGCCAGGCCTGGCATGTTCACCCCCACTGGGACCGTGCCAGCACTGCACTGTGAAGCAGTGGGGAGGGAAGGAATGGCAGAGTTTTTATTCATTACCTGTGAATTTCTGCAGGACATGGCTTGTTGGTGGGATATTCAGGAACCTGAGATGAGAGCCTGCAGGCATGGCAGCCAGAAGATCTTCCTTCTGAAGGAGGGAGAGAAAGAAAAAAGCAGATTTTCTGTCCAGTGGTTCATATCAACCTTGATATTATCTTCAAACTTCATGGGTGAAGAGCACGCAGATCCCTTCTTGTTCTGAAGTTTAGAGCACCAGGCTGTGGAGCAGACGGGGGTCCATCCTCGGGGGATCCTAATGGAGGGCTGTGCTTTCCCCATCATTTGTGGCTCCACAGCTGGAGAAGAACCCTTGTGTGTTCTGCAGATGGAGCTGCAGGAGATTATGAAGCAGCGAATAGCAATTGCCAGGGAGATATCTGACTCAGAACTTCACTGCAGGGTGGAGGGATACCCTCCCCCCCCGACATGTGCCCAATTAACCCAGGAGTACGTGTTGGATTTCACTGCCTCCTGTTCCTTTGTGTTTATGGGGAGGGTGGATCACTTGGGACCCAGGCTTAGAGCCAGAGATGCCTGCCCATGAGCAGAAGGCCCCTTCTGCACGCAGAAGGGCTTCTCCTGACACAGCGTGTGTTCCAAGAGGTGTCAGTTCCCTTGCACTATGTCTTGCTTGCATATTTTCTTGCACAAGGTCATCTATAATGTTTCAAGGTTAACGCTCGTGCAAATCTTTGCACACTGCCACAGTGTCTTTTAGGAGCCCTTACACAACAGTGCATGGAACGGCTGTATGGCTGCTTGCACATCTTTGGATCCAAACTGCAGTTTTAGGAAACTCAGAGCTGGGAATGAAATGAAGCTTTGTGTGTGTGTGTGTGTGTGTGTGTGTGTGTGTGTGTGTGTGTGTGTATTTGCACATGTGTGAAAGAGAAGAGCAGCCTACAGTTTTTCTAATTCAGATGTCTTTCAATAATTCAAATTTATGTCTACCCCTTTCCCCCAGTATGAATTCTTCACCACGACAGCTTTTTTCCTGCTGTGGAGGAAATAGCAATAAAAAATAATAAAAGAATTAAAAGTAAGGAAGACAGACCAAGTTTGGTAATTCAATACCTCTCTTAATCATCAGGATTCAGGTTTTAAGGTGCAAGTTCACCTTCACACATGCAAATGGTGCTGGTGACTCTTGCAGTGTATGGATAGATGATGCACTGACATTCTTCTGAAGAGATGATCCCTCATTCTTCTCAAAGGGTGAGCAGCAAAAGCCTTCAGCATTCCAAAAGCCAACTTCTGCTGTGCTGGGTGGGGAACTTTGCTATTTGGCAGTGGTTGAGAAGGCTTTGAAGCCACCCCATTCCCATCAAAGAGGAAACACAGAAAAGACCCCTTCAGGATGCTCCGCAGAGACTGCTTGTCATTTCATGAGCATTTGCTGGGCAAGCAGCACTTTTGAAAAGAATGCTGAGCATAAGGTCTTACCTTGCTGTCCAGAAAAGTATCCTGCACTGATAGCACAAGGGGGACTCTGCGATGATGGAGCTTCTCTGTGGCTAATGGTTTCAACCCACTTCATGGATGGCTCTTATAGGCTCCTGACAAGGAGGTAGATTTGTATTTCCTCTTTTGCAAGACTCCAAACTCAACTGTCTGACCTGAATTGCAGCATTCTCCATGCTGGGAGGGAGGGAGGGAATGCAGGGGGGTGTGGTTTGCTTTTTTCTTTCCTTTATCCAAATCACGGTTGATGAAATTTCCAAAGATGTTGCATTCTGGTGACCAAGCTACATTACCTAGGAAGAGAGATGCCATTTCTTTCAAGAGGTGCACCAATTGCTGATTGATGGTATGGTTACAGCACTAGCTCCCCAGTTCTCCAAGTAGTGAGATGTTTCAGGGTTTAGTTTGGACTTTGAGTTCTTTTAGAAGGCAGGGTATCGAAGACTTGATTTACAAATATTCTGGGACAGCAAAAGCAATCCTACTGGACAATAGATCTCCAGCCAGAGATGCCCACAGTGCTGTAAGCTGCATTCCCATGTGCATACATATGCACTCACCTCTTTCCCCACCCTCAAGTGTGATGAGATGGGATGCAGTCCTCACCTCTTCCAGACTCTATCGGCACTCCCACCCTGCTGCCGGGATGGAAGGGGTTGTGGTTCAGGGGCAGAGGATCTCCTTTGCATGCAGAAGATGCCAAATCCAGTCCCTGCATCTGCAACTACAGTTGGGGACACTCCCATCCAAACCATTGGGGAGTCATTGCCGGTCACGGCCAACAATTTTGGGCTGGATGGACCAAAGCTCTGACTTGGCGGGGCAGTTGGCATAATCACTCTGACTTATTTCAGCGACAGCTTTTTAAAGCCACGGCATGTGCTGGGCGTGATTTGAATCATCACTGGTCAAGTGTGGCTACTCATGTTGGATGGCATGGCTTGTTTGGGGGTTCAGTCACTCTCAGTTAACCACACAGCAGTCCATGGCTTTTTAGAGTGTTGCTAAACCCTCTCACAAGCCATTCCACCCAGGTTTGTTGTGTTGCGGACAACTCAAGAAGGCATGCCTGGATGATCATTACTCAGACTGCAGCCAGCATGGTGGCTTAAACAATCCGCAGTAGCTTGTTCAAGCTGTGGCGATTACGGAAAGCAGGGTTCCCATGGAGGAAACATCACTCAAGCATCCAGGCTATCGGCCTGTAATCTACCTACCAAAAGGAAGCATCATCAGACCATTTATCAGCCACCTTCACATGAAGCGATGGCTATGGTTGGAGCCTGTGGGGATGGCTGGTGAAGAACCAAGATAAAACGTCGTTCCACCCAGCTCCGAGTACCAACCTTCTCTGGTCACAAGCAGGTAGGGCATCCTTTCCAGCCCTACCTGAGATCCTTGAATAAGTCAGGAATTGAACTGGCACCTTCTGTATGCCAAGCATGTGATCCATCATGGAATGACAGGTCAAAAGCCCAGTTTGGAGCACAGCTGTTGCATGTAGAAAGTTCTAGATTCAAGGCAGCAGCCCAAAATAGGGCTAAGACCCCTGGTTGACTCCCCTGCCTGAAGTATCCCCTGCTTGAAGGTGCATCATTGCTCTGGTTTAGCATAAGGCAGCTCCCAATGTTTGTAAACCTGTTTATAAGCTTAATTTAAATCCTTTCCTGTTAGCACAATGTATAGCAACTCTAGTGGTTGCTGAGAATGATTGGCAAACTGCGTGCTCTGTTGCTACTGGGGGAAGAAAAACAGAGTTGGCCTCCCAATTCACATTACAAGTGTTACTGGAAGCCGGTAACAGTAAGGTAACAGGTTCTTCCTGTCTCCTTTAATGTCCCATCTCCTCCATCCTCAATAGAGCAAATTTCTGTGCTGCAGATGACACCTATAATTTTTTTATTACAGAGACCTCCATGCCACCTTAAAGTTTATGTATAAGGAAAAGTAGAGGTAACACAAATCAGAACCATTAGCAGATGAAACTTAAGGGCAGCAAGAGCACAAAAGAACCATTATCTGGGTTAAAGGGAAATCCTTAAAATGGGTGTTGAACTTCAGGTTCATACATCAGATGGCCCAGATGGCCAAACCCCCTTTTATTTGGTGTGTTCCCAGCTTTGGTGCAATTGTTTGTTTTCTCCCGTTCAAACATGTTGAAATTCCTCTGACAAGGCTTAGATTCTGGGGGTAAGAGCTTTAGGCCAAAATATACTGATAGTTTTGGCCCTGCCCTTTTGCCATCAGCCTTTTTGCCATCGACCTTGCAAAGCAATAGGTCATGGCTCCTTGAAACTTGCATTCAGCCCTTGAGCTGAAGAGGTTCAACACCGCTTGTGGCACATGACCTGGTCCAGAGGTGCTCTCAAAGTATGTTCTCAGTAGATTGTTGTTGTTAGTCGCGAACTCATGTCCAACCCATCGCGACCCCATGGACAACATTCCTCCAGGCCTTCCTGTCCTCCACCGTCCCCCGGAGTCCACTCAAGCTCACACCAACTGCTTCAGTGACTCCATTCAGCCACCTCATCCTCTGCCATCCCCTTCTTCTTTTGCCATCTATTGTTCCCAGCATTAGGCTCTTCTCCAGGGAGTCCTTTCTTCCCATTAGGTGGCCAAAGTACTTGAGTTTCATCTTCAGGATCTGGCCTTCTAAAGAGCAGTCAGGGTTGATCTCCTCTAGGACTGACCGGTTTGATCACCTTGCAGTCCAAGGGACTCACAGAAGTCTCCGCCAGCACCACAATTTAAAGGCCTCAATTCTTTGGTGCTCAGCCTTCCTTAAATCCAACTTTCACAGCCATACATTGCAACTGGGAAACCATAGCCTTGACTATATGCACTTTTGTCGGCAGGGTGATGTCTCTGCTTTTTAGTATGCTGTCTAGATTTGCCATAGCTTTCCTCCCCAGGAGCAAGCATTTTTTAATTTTTTATTATTATTATTATTATTATAACATTTCTATGCCGCCCGTTGCCGAAACCTCGGGGCGGCTTACAACATGATAAAATACATTGAAATTTCTTGGCTGCAATCCCCATCTGCGGTGATCTTGGAGCCCAGGAAAATAAAATCTGTCACTACCTCCATTTCTTCCCCATCTATTTGCCAGGAAGTGAGAGGACCGGATGCCACGGTCTTAGTTTTCTTAATGTTGAGTTTTAAGCCAACTTTTGTGCTCTCCTCCTTCACCCGCATCAAGAGGCTCTTTAGTTCCTCTTCACTTTCTGCCATGAGAGTGGTATCATCTGCATATCTGAGGTTGTTGATATTTCTCCCAGCAATCTTAATTCCAACTGGTGATTCATCTCGCCCCGCCTTTCTCATGATGTGCTCTGCATATAAGTTAAATAGGCAGGGCAACAGTATACAGCCTTGCTGAACTCCTTTCTCAATTTTGAACCAATCAGTGGTTCCATGTCCAGTTCTCACTGTTGCTTCTTGACCCACATGTAGGTTTCTCAAAAGACAAATAAGATGGTCAGCTACTCCCATCTCTTTAAGAACTTGCCACAATTTGCTGTGATCCACACAATCAAAGGCTTTAGCATAGTCAATGAAGCAGAAGCAGATGTTTTTCTGGAACTCCCTAGCTTTCTCCATGATCCAGCGTATGTTGGCAATTTGATCTCTAGTTCCTCTCCCTCTTCAAAACCCTGCCTGTACTTCTGGTAGTTCTTGGTCCACATACTGCTGGAGCCTATCTTGTAGGATTTTGAGCATCACTTTGCTAGCATGTGAAATGAGTGCAACGGTGCGGTAGTCAGAACATTCTTTGGCATTGCCCTTCTTTGGGATGGGAATGTAAACTGACCTTTTCCAATCCTGCGGCCACTGCTGAGTTTTCCAAATTTGCTGGCATATTGAGTGTAGCACTTTTACTGCATTGTCTTTTAAGATTTTGAATAGCTCAGCTGGATTACTGTCACCTCCACTAGCTTTGTTGTTGCTCAGACTTTCTAAGGCTCATTTGACTTCACATTCCATCTCACTAGATAGGCAACCTCAAATTACCTGCCTAGCTGCACATAATTAGATCCCTCTCAAACCCAGATACCATTACAGGATAAGATAACTCTCTGTACCTTGGGTATAGGTCATACTGAAATGTCAGGCAAGATTTGTTTTTTGCTTATTTACTGTAACAAAACTGGTACAATTATACATACTGAGTCAAGAGTTGGACACACAAACACTTAAGACGGTCAATAACATCGTGCTGGTTGGTGGGTGCTTGACATGATCCAGGCCCTCTCTCTGTGGAATTTTTCCCCTAAGGAGGAAAGTCTGGCACACCCCCAAATGGCAGCATGAAACCCTCATGGATTTGCACAGCCACAGTATATCACAGTGGTAGTTGCAGTGGAATATATAGAAATGTAGAGAAAGAAAAAGTTTGGGGAAAGGAGCCTATCTTATTTGTCTCTGTCATAGGACGAAGCTTGAGTCGTTCTACAGACAGCTAAAGTTCTCTTTGACAGAACTCCAGTTCCATGTGTTGGGGCTTTGGGTGGGGACAGAGCAATCTATTTAAGTTCAATGAGACTTAATTGCTGACTGGGCAGCAGGAGTAAGCTCAAGAGGCTTATTCAATTCAATGAGACTTATTTCCAGATAGCTAGGTGCAGATGATTGAACTCTGTCTGTGCAAGAAAACACCAAGACCCTGAGATGTCCATTCTTCTATTACTAAAAACAAAGACAGCCTTGCTGGTCGTAAGAAAACATCCACATAAAATGTAATACCTTGACTGAGGTGACTCAAGGGTCACGAAATGTGCAAACCTTTGAGATCTCCAGATCTCACCTGGCAAAACTGTGAGCGCCTTCATGGTTGTTACCTTGAGCGCTGCCAGAATGTCCCTGGGAAAGTGATTCTGAAAGCATCCAGTTTCTTCCTTCCATGACCTCCAGGGAAATACCCTGTGACTGCTCCAGAAAAGGTATGTGGAAATGGGGACCGGAGAAGCTGGGTGAGGCGCATGCTTGCTGTGGCCTCTGGAAGATGTGTGTAGAAACGGAGGGAAACACCAGGCTGGGTGCCTTGCTTCTTGTGTCCTCTCATTTCTTCCTGTGCCTGAACGTGGCTCCTGCAAGGACTTCTCCTCTTAAGGGTGTATGTGACGTGATGGCTCAAGCTGTATTTCAAGGGCCTAGTAGCCTTTTCCAGGATAACCTATGATTAGTGCTCCCACCTGTAGGGGTTGCTCAGGGTTTTAACTTACAGTTCAGTGGGGAGATTCAGCAGCTCCCCCCTGTTCTTCCCATGGCCGTCCCCTTTCTGGTCGCTCCCCAGCCTCGGTGCCCCTAGTTGTCTTGCCAACTTGTCAGCAGGTCTGCTGATGCTTTTATTGCAAATTTCCCTAACATGGTAAACTCTAGCTGATTTGGACTACACTTCTCATTATCCACGACCACTGGATAGGCTGACTGAGGCTGATGGGAGCTGTAGTCCAAAACATCTCGAGGATGTTGAAGAGCACTGGACCTAGGACTGAACCCTGCAGTACCCTACTAGTTACCTTCCTCCAGTCTGAGAATGTGCCATTGATGAACGCCCTTTGTGTCCGATTTAGCAACCGATTTTGGATCCACCTAACAGTTTTTCTATCATTTTCTGTCAGTTTTCTCATGGTCCCCTTTGATCAATGCCAGCAGTACCATTAATAAGCAAGTGGGCTGATGCACAGGTGTGTGGGATATGTCTACAGAAGCTATCCCACGCGGCCACCAGCACTGGAGAATCCCCGTTCACTATATGGATATGATTTCTGTGAGGGGAAAACTAAAGGCACATCCTTGTGCCAAACCTTTTAAGCTTGTCTAGGTTTCTCTGGGTTTTCTTTTTGTCTTCCAGGCCGCTAGCTATTCCATCTAGTTTAGTATCATCTGCAAATGTAATTATCTTCCCACGGATTTCCCTATCAAGATTGTTCATAAAGATGTTGAAGAGTGCTGGTCCCAGGACTGAAGCCTGTGGTACCTCAGCAGCGACTTCTCTCCAGGCTGAGCAACTACCATTGATGGTCACTCTCTGTGACCTGTGCTGGAGCCCGTTGTGGATCCACCTAGTAATAGTTCTGTCAAGCCCACATTTTGCTATTTTATTTATTAGGATGTTGCACAGCACTTTGTCTAAGGCTTTGCGAAAGTCTAGGTAAGTTGTATGCTAACTTTTTATGGGGCCATGAGGGGAAGGGTTTTTGGGGGGGTTTTTTTGGTAGTTTTCTATTCTTTTCCTTTGTTGGGATTAGTTGTTCTTGTGCTTTAAGAATTCATTTTTTAAAGATGTCCATCCCCCCTGGACTCCTCTCTCCATTAGTGTGAGTTGCCAGGGTATTTTGCTTATTGTTGACTTGAATGTCTTAAAATTGGCCCTTTTGAAGTTGGGGATACGCATTTGGCTGCGGCAGATATTTGCCTTTTGCTCAACAGAATTCAAGAATGGTGTGGTCGCTTTCACCCCAAGAACCCGCGGTTGTTACTCTATCTACTAGATCATCTTTGTTGGTTAGTTTTCAGTCGAGTGTAGCTGTTCCCCTTGTCTTTTCCTCCACTATCTGCTGGAGGAGGTTATCGGCCACACATGTGGCAGATCTCTTTGAGGGGCCAGGTTTGGCTGAATGTGTCTCCCAGCAAAGATCAGGGAAGCTGAAGTGGCCCATGAGGACCACGCCATGTCTTCTAGCTGCATCGGCTTATTGGTTTTCAAAGATAACGGCTTTGTCTTCCCTTTGAGTTGGTGGGCGGTTGTAGAAGCTGATCACCGTGTCGCTACAGCTTTTTGCTCCTGTTAGGTTGAGCCAGATGCACTCAGTGTGGAAACTTGACTCCTCCTCCTGTATTTCATTGCAAATACAAGTATTCTTTATTATTTATTTATTTAGAAAATTTCTATGCTGCCCCATTCGCCGAAGCCTCGGGGAGGCTCACAACATAAATCAATTAAAATAATATAAAATAAAATAAGTATAATGTATAGTGCAATGTATAGTGCAATGATTCCTTCCCTTTTATCCCTTCTATTTTTCTTGAAGAACTTGTATCCATCTAATTTTGAACTCCAACTGAGAGAAGCATTCCACTATGTTTCAGTAATTGCCAGAAGATTGTAGTTGCCGTCATGTACTTGGAGTTCAAGTTCATGTTTATTACCCATGCTCTGGGCATTGGTGTAGAAACATTGCAGCTCCCTGGGGTATAACCAGGTTTTGTTTCTGGGTTGTGTTATGTTGTGTTTTGTCTTACGTTGCCTGGGCCAGCTGTGCTGATGAACCATGGATAGGTAACCAGGAACAACCTATGCAGAGAATGCATGGTTGTTGAGTTGTGAACTGTGGTGTATTCATGATTAACAAACCACCATTTGTTACCATGGCTGGATTCAGAAATTATGACCCATGTTTCAACAACAACCCATGGTTTAATGACAGCCCACACTCAACCTATATTCAAACCTTGAATTATGCTGTCTTAACCCAGCCAGAGACAGGAGTCTTTTCCAGCTTGCCCTGGAGATACTATGGATTTTAACTTACACTTCAACTGGAAGACTCAGTAGCTTCTGCGGTCTGGAAACTGCTGCATCAAAACAGGTGGTTACTACTGAACTGTGGCCCTTTCTTGAGTGCCTTGCTCTGCCCAGTTTATTGTTCAACTGTGTTTTTAATGCCCCAATTAAATCCCCCCCTCCATCTTCTCAAAGCAGGGATGGAGAACCCGTGGTCCCCCAGAAGTTGGACTACAGCTTCTATAACCCCCGACTGCTTTCCGTGCTGGCAAGGACCAACGGAGTCCACCAGCTGGAGGGTTGAATCTGGGTTCAAACTGGGCCAGCTGTGCTGGCAGATGTTGATTTCAGTACCCCATCCTTCCTTCTGCAGCTCCTCCAGCCTTGTGAAAACTCTGCGTAGGGAGTCAAAAGACCCTGCTGAATGGGGTGAGCTGTAGGGTGTGGCAGGGAGGGGAGGGCGAATTCCCAAAAACTGAGGGGAGGGACTTTCCATGAGCAGAGTCCCTTCCTCCTGGGGAAGGACTGTCCTGGATGCTAGCCATAGTCTGAGCTGGTATAAGGGAGTTGCAAAGGAACATGGTAATCTGCAAGTATGTGTAGATCGAACGGAGAAGTAACTTGATTAGCTGAGTAAAAAGCAGGTAGTAAACCAAGTAACTAAAGCTACGCAGTTACTTCTGGCTCTTGTAAACACTCTTGGGAGCAGACTGCTGCTGGTGATTAGCTGTGGATGACGTTTGCTTCCAACCTGGCTCCCTCGCCATTTTGCCAACCCTTCTGTTGGCCACTGATAACATGAGGAGAGGCGGGGGGCACAAGAAGAACAATTTAACAGTCCTGAAAAAGGAGATACCTGGCAAATGGGTTAAGAAAATGTGTGAGAGAGATCCCTCTTCTTTTGCTCTTCCTTACTGAAGGAAAGCATGAAGGCAGACCAGCGCGGAAATGATCAGCCAGCGCCTGTCAGTGGTGAGAATTTGTTAATATCATATCGCTTTTGTGCACTCATTGATTGCTGAGATACGTACAGCCATGGGCCCCAGGAGAGCCTGAAAAGGAGTAGCACCACTCAGAACTGACTTTTGCTCTAAGGAAATGGAATTGAAGGACACCCAAGAAATCACTGGCAAATGTTTTTCATTCATAAGGTAGAGGAAAACTGTGTGGGTGTTCTTTGGATCAGTCTGTAGTACTGTCCTATTGCATATTATTCTATTCTATTGTTTTCTGGTATTGACGTAAACTGCTTTGGGATTTGTACAAATTAGAAGTTTAGACATGCTGAGAAAAATGAATAAATCTCAACAACTCCAATTCCCAGGCCTCATTACTGGGGCAGCCTAGCTAGTGTAGCTTTGAGTTACATTTATTTTAATCTCTGTACTCTCCTTGATTCAGTGCAGGGATGTGCACATGATTAACCTCACACCATTCTTGTGAAGTTGGTTATGTAGTGACTTGGTTCACACATAATATTAACCCATGATTTGTTGACTTCCGGGCTGTTGTGTTATACAGCTGTATTAACCATGAACAACTCAAGAAGAGAACCCATGATATGTTGTTGGTTTGTACACTCTGGATTGTTTAAATCATGGATTGTTGTTACATGTCAACCCAGAACCGTAGGTTGTTCTACCAGTCTACAAGGCAATCGGCAAGAGTGTATTGGCTCTACATACCAATATTACAGTGCTGCAAAAGTATTTGGGGCACAGGGAAGGAGTGGTTGAAGAAGGAAAGAAACAAAGAACCCAGGGACTGAAAAAATAAACTCTGGTTTGTCCAATGGACTTCCAGATAAACTGAGAGATGGCAACCAACACTGTGATAAATAAAACATGGGTTAGCATTATGTGCAAACCAGGTTACTGAATGGCTTATGGGGACTCTATCAGTTTTGTGAGGATTTGAACCAGGATCTATACACTTTAACCGCTAAAACACAGTGGCTGTCATGATTTGTAAACAGGTCCTTTCTTGGAAAACAAACTGTTTATTAGAAGAGGAATAAAGTCCACAAAAGAGTAACTTCACCCAAATATGGGCCTGAAATTAATGTCTGGAGTTTTCTTATATTTCTATCCAACAGAATATGATCATTGCTTTATTTTAGAGACTGCAACATTTCCAGTATCTTTATTGGTATTATTACTATTCTTTTTTTTTTTAATCCAGTAGTCAAAGCTTCCAGTCTGCTTAGAAAAGGGTATCAATTTTCTGTATTTCTGCTCCCAACTTCTCTGCCTGGTAGCTTCTTGCAGGGACTGTTCTCCTGTGAAGAGTGTGGGCGAAGCTGACAGGGAGCAACCGTGTTCTGAGGCGTATGATCCCCAAAGTAGCCTGGATCCTCTTTTATAAAATCGGTAATTCTCCCTTGTATATCAAATCAACATCATGTAGCCATCAGCCATCAAAGGCCATTAAACAAGCACTTTTAGTGATATGAAATCTGAGACAGAAATGATACAACCAGTCACATTATTCTTTTGATGCTTCCTTCCCTGTTTTTTTAAACAGAGTTTGCTTCATTCCTCAGAGACCAGAATGGGAAGAGCAAGAAAATGAAAGCTTCTGTGTCTTCTTGTCACCTCAAAATGAGTTCCTTCCTACTCATTCTCACCATTTTCTGGGTTCTCCCAACTATTAATAATGTACATCCTGGTAAGAATCGTGTGTGTGTGACTCTGTCTGAAGCTCAGTTGCTTCTGGCTGAAATGTTTTACATTCCTCTGAAGGGGCAAAGAAAAGTTGTGTGTTACATTTCCTGCCAGGTACGACGTCTAAAAATTAGAATGAAATTGTATGGAATGGCCTAGTGGAGCAGAGCAGAGGTGTATCTACTCCAGCGTTCTGGGCTCCTCTCTCCACATGTGCCCGTGAACCCTCACTCAGGGAAGCTCCCTGGTCTCTTCCTACAAGAGGCTATTCATCAGTTGCATATCTCCTTTGGGTTTCATGGCAGAACTGAGATCTGAGCACTATGCAAATCTCTTTTCCTTTCCTGCAGTATAACCTCTAGGTGGCACTGTGGTATAGGCAGAATAGTGCAACTGCACAAGAGGAAATCACATACAGTGGTACCTTGGCTCACGAACGTAATCCGTTCCAGGACTCAGGTCGTGACCCAAATTGGTCGTGAACCAAGTTAAATTTCCCCATAAGGTTCAATGTAAATGAGGTTAATCTGTTCTGTAACCATTTTTTAAATCAGAAAAATGTGAAGCAAAGTGACAACAACAAAGATTGTGGCCATCTCCCCCATCCCGCACCCCAAGCACAAGCGTGGCCATCTCCCTGCCCCCCCCCCCCCGCCAGCATGACTGCAATTGCACCCATCATCCCTGCAGGCGCCCGTCATCCCGGCATACTGGGGGGTGAGGGAAGAGACGGGGGTGATCGCAGGCGCACTGGGAGAGGGAGAGATGGGCGCAAACGGTGCGCTGGGGGTGGGGAGGTGGCCGCGATCGCAGTTCTGTTCGTGCAGGGAAAGGGTGCCTGATCAGAGGCGCGCTCCTGCAGGAAAGACAGGCGGCATCTCAGACATCTCCCCCGCAGCTCTGCTTTGCTGCTCCCGTCTTTCCTGCAGCAGCGCGCCTCTGATCACGGATGCCTTCCCTGCACGAATGGAACTGGGATTGTGGCCATCTCCCCAGCGGAGATCAGAGATGGCTGCGCTCTTGGTTGCCACCCAAAGTGGAGTTCGCAACCCAAGTAAAAATTTTTCAGTAATTTTTGTTCATGACCCAATTTGTTCGTGAGCCAAGGCGTTCGTGAGCCGAGGTACCACTGTATATTTTCAATGCTCTAAAACCTGCTGACGTGCTGGTTAGACACAGAAGTGAAACTGGTGGCTTTCATCTAAAGCACCCATAAACAGCCATGAATATGAAATGGTGAGTGCAGGATGAAAGCCTTGTGTGGCATTAGCCCTAACCCTTACATCCTATGGACAGAGCAGATCAATACTTCCCAGGGCTTCTCCACTGCCAGATGCAGAACAGCACACAGGAAACTGCCTTAACACCGAGTCAGAACTGGTTCATCTAACTCAATATTGTCTGCACCTGGATAGGTAACCTGTGGCTCTACTAATATGTTAGCCTACGACTCCCATCATCCTCAGTCTTCATGTCCAGGGTTCGGGACTATGGGAACTGTAGTTCAAAGCATCTGGTGGGCGCTGAGTTAACTACCCCTGCTGTACACTAGGGATGCATGGGGCGGCTGCTTTGGGAGTGGGAATCCATCAGATTCCCTGGGCTCAGCTCCCCAGACTCCAGTCCACTTGACACAGCTGTGAGTCTGCATTCCTGGTGCGTTTGCCCAGCATTTGCAGGGCCCTCACCAGGAATCGTGCCCCACGCTCTGTGCAGGCAGCATCCCTCTTCTGTGCCGTGTGCAGCGGCCTTCGCAGAAGAAGGCTGCAAGTTGCACCACCTTTGTTCTGTGAGCGTGCATGGACTTCCTCTTGGCTCGGCTCACCTTGCAAGACCCTCTTCCACACTGACTAGCAGCCACTCGCCAAGGTTTCAGACAGGCGCCTTTTCTGCGCTGCCGGAGATGCTTCCGTGTACAAAAAACCCACTCCACTGCTCGACTGTGGCCCCCTCCACCCCCGGATCAGTTATTTCTGCCTGGTTTTGCACAAAAGGCCTTTTCATGCAAGGCGTGAAACAAGGAACACACTATGCTGGATATATCCAAAATGGTGGCTTTGCTTTTCAAGTATTCTTCAGCCCGTTGTCCCTGGCACATGGCTGGGGGATCACTAGTCAGGATAAACCCCCATGTATGACACTACTTGATCAGCTTAAGTAACCATTTGTGATTGTTTTTGGTTTGGTATGCAATGCAGCCCAGCTGACAGTGAATGGGCCACTTCAGCCGGTCACTGCTTTCCTGAGCAAGGATATTGTGCTACGCTGTCACCTGTCCCCCAGGACAAGCGCCCAGGACATGGAGATAAAGTGGTTCCGCCCCCAGAAGTCTTCGTATGTCCACCTTTATCACGGCGGCAGAGATCATCTGGAAAGGCAGCTGCCAGAATATCAAGGAAGGACCGAGTTTTTGAAAGATGGCATTGGTGAGGGGAAGATTGAACTGAAAATTCTCAATGTCAGCTTTTTGGATGAGGGACAGTACCACTGCTCTGTTAAGCAAGGGAGTTTCCACCAGGAAGCCACACTGGACATGCGACTGGCTGGTGAGCATGAGAATCCTTTTTAAATGGATGATTTAAGCTGTCATTTCCTAACGAGCTTTAGGGCTATACACTTAAGTTTTTGGAGCGGGTGAATTTGTCAGATTTCCTATGCGCCTTTCTGTCTCTCAGATCGCTCCCTCCGCTGTTTCCCATTGTGTTGCTTGTGGGGGACAAGCGTCAGCTTTCCATAAGAAACATCAAGCCACTCCTGGGCTTCTCCAGACAGCAGCAAGTCCCCTACACTGGCAGGCTGTGTGCCTGGTCCTTCAAGGACAGGCTGTACAGCCCTGTCCAGGTCAGCGGACTCCCATCCCGTGGGGAACTGGAGGATGGTGGCCAGGCCTGGTGCAGGCTCTCCCGCTAGGTGAAGCCAAGCGCACACGGGCTGCTGCTGTCACATCACACGTCCGCTGCTTTTCTCATTGTGTCCCCATTGCTGCCTGCAGTGTGTGTGCTGCCTCCGCAATGCACACTTCCCCCTTACCTTATCACGCCTCTTCCCTCGTGTGCGACCCTACCTGTTCCCCTTCTCTCATCATACCCACAAGAGGATCCTCAGCCCAAGCCAGAAGAGGGGTGGCTGAGAGCAGCTACGTACTGCCCTCTGTATTGCTTGGAGGATGTCTTCAGAGTGAAAGGAGGGCAGGTGGCTCATTGGTACCTTCGCCACGGCAGGAGGGAGGGCCTGGCCGGTGCCCACGGTGCCCTCCAGCGATTCTGAGCTTGTGGCTGCACCCTGCTGGCCTGCTTGCCCCCTGCAGCAAATGCCATGGCTAGTCGGGCTCCCTGCAGCACCTGCTGGAGTGGTGCAATTTGCTGATCAGCCGGCGCTGCCTCCTGAGGCGGGGGCTCCACCCCACCTCATGGGGGGACCAGCCGTGATGGTGGCAGCAGCAAGAGGAGAAGGGCTGCAGGTTGGTTCTCCCTGCAGGACAGGCGGAGCCCCTCCTCACGGGTCTATCAACTAGTGCTAGCCCTGATAGCCCAGCGGAACCTCCGTGTTTGGTGTATCACTCCATGCCACATACGGAGAGCGGCTGTCGCCTGCACCCCCTGCTTGCACACTCTGCTCGAGACATTGGCCTGGCCGCTGTTGGAGGCAGGACGAGAGGCTGGGCAGATCCATGGTCTCTTTCAGCGAGACTGTTCTCAGGGTAACGTTGTTTGGAACCAGCTTGATGCTGTACGCCAGTGAGGCTGGAAGGGGGAAGAGGGAGGGAGCATTTTGGCCAGAGCAGTTTCCAAGAGCAAGCGGGGAACCCGATCACCATTCCTCTTTATTAGACATCAGTAGGAGCAGAGTCTTGGGTGATCTGGGAAGGTGACAACACTCTTAATATTCTTTTGTTACAAAATGCTCTACAGAGTAATTGCTCTGTTTGCCATTTCTCTTCCCACGTGTCTTGAGTTGCTTCTGGAGTCACCCAAAGGTATTTATTTTGCATTGCATCAGATCTCTGCTAGTGGCGCCAGGTTAGGGGCAGGCAAGTTACGGCCTTCCAGATGTTTTGGCCTGCAACTCCACTCAGCTCTAGCCGGCACAGCCAATGGTACAGCATGTTGGGGGGGGGGGGGAGGTTGTAGACCAAAACATCTGGACTGCCATATATTGCCTACCAGTGGCATAAGCCACACACTTTTTAGTGGCCATGGGGACTGCAGCAGAGGTGAGAAAATGATCGTGGGACAGGGTTGGGCTAGATATTTTGAGCTCTGACAACTCAGTGATTCTGTTGTGTTGACTCTGTTGTTATCCTATTTCGTTGGCTCTGCTACAAAAATCTTTGACCCAGATGTTAATAACGCTTTAGATGTGTATTTTGCTTGTGTTTGCTTCAAATCCAGTATCAGGCACTGCTCCACTCATCGCCATTGAAGGTTACCAAGGCAGAGGGATACGAGTAGTGTGTCGTTCCAGTGGCTGGTACCCAAAGCCAGAGATCCTATGGATTGATCCCAGTGGGAGACTTCTCCCTGCACCGGCTAAAGCAGCTTCTCAGAAGAACAGTGGGTTGTTTGACGTACAGAATGAAATAATCGTAACGGGACATTCAGATCAGAAGTTGACCTGTGTGGTCAGGAACCTCCTGCTCAACCAGAACCAGAGCTCGACAATTCATATAACAGGTAAGTGAGCAAGAAAAGAAAAAGTATCCTGGGGCAGCAATGTGGTCCCGGGGGTGAATTCTGAGCTAGCCCAACCTCCTTTGGCACCAAAATATTCTGGAGTGTAAACCCAGAAAATGAAGAAAATGATTGATCTGTTATTTATTATTTTTCAGATCACTTCTTCCAAAAGGTTTCTCCCTGGATAATCGGTCTGAGTGTATCGTTAATAATAGCTGTGCTGAGCCTCATTGTATCTGTTCTTTACCTGCTTAACGGAAACAGTGAGTATGTGGGTTGTTGTGCAAGGTAATCTCAGGGGAGCAATATCCCTCCTTCAAAAGGAGGTGCTTGCCTGCCAGATTCCCTTGAATGGTTCGAGCTCTTTTGCTGGGGTTTGACATGTGCTGCCAGAAAGAACAAGGCCTGGTTTTGCATTCACACACAACACTTAGAAAGCAAAGTTTATTCATCAGAAAAATAGAGAGCTAGCACAAGCTTTTAACCTGATGCAATCCTGGCAGCAAATATTCCTGCTCCATCCCATTCTTACTCTAGATTCCTAAACAGATTCCTAAATTCCTAAAGCGCTTCCTGCCCAACCGCCTTACAGATAGAGAGAAGCTCACAGAAAGAAAGGGAGCCTAAGATTACTACCTGTCTGTTGGTTGTTCTGGGTAGTAGACTTTTGACAGCAGTCCTTTGTATGAGCAGGAAGGTGTTGGGGAAAAGAGGATGCTTGGAAGGGAAGAACCTCTTCCCCTGGTTTGAGGACTTGGAGGCCCAACTAAAGAAAAGTGTCAGTTGTAAAACAATAGGTTTTATCAGAAAAAGACAAAAATTACATGGTCTCTGAAGTGGGAGGCACACAGTGAGAGTCTCTCTGAGCTGCTCAAAGGCTTTAGCATAATGCTCGTCTAGCACAAATTATCTTATCCGTCTGAATGTAACATGATACACCTTCAACGGGCAACTAGAAGGCAGTATGGGGGGATATTACCAAGGAAAGGAATCCTTCCAGCATCTTCCTCTTCTGCAGTCAATTTGCCTGCAGAGTCCTTCTTATATCACTTTCCCGCCCGGGGTCGGGGGATGGGAAAGATTCCTCCAAGAATGCATGACGTTCATAGGCTGGGGTATGCCAGGACCACGTTTTGAGCTTGCCTGCCTCCTTTTTTGAAGCGCCTGATCTTTATACGATTTCGCTCTGTACCTGCCACTGTGGGAATGAGAAGTTTCCCAGACTTACACTAATAGTTGGATGGGAGCTTGGCTGCTTTTTGATGGTAACTACTGCTGGTTGCTGTGTGGCCACATTTAATTTCCTGGGGTAAAACGCTGAGTTTTTTGCCTGTGTTGGCCGGCTGCCACCCATGGGTAATTTCCAGCTGTCTCAGGACAGTGGGTCATCCTCCTTGCAGGGTCACTTTGCCTAGTAGCTTTCAGGGGAAATATCTTACTCTTTCTCCACAAGGATTCCAGTGCTCATTATTCAGCCATTGATCCTTACCTCAATCACACTGGCTAGCCCAGGCTAGTAGCCCCTTCCTCCTGAATGGAGCTTATTCAACAGGTGCATGGCCTGAATGGAGCTTCTCTTTGTGGCACTAATATTGATATATTCACAAACGACAGGGTAGCCTGCCTTATACCTGCCACACCAGCAGTAGCATTATATGGTTTCGCCACTAGGTGGCACTCGACTCAGTTGCATCTGGTGGAGACTGAGCTCTTCTGTCAGTGTTGAGTAGCAGTTATACCTTCCTGACTGGTGTGTCATCCAGACTGTGTCTGACTCTGTGTCCCCCTAGCTCTGTATCAGTGCTGGCTGCAGATTTTAGAAGGCCCCTGGGAAAGACTCCCCTTAGTACTCCCATGGTCCCCCACGGCCAAAGCATTTTCCAGAAGCACAAGCACCCAGAATGAATTCCTGAGCGAAGTTTGGTTAACCCAATACAGTATTCACCTCCAGGAACTCTCCTTATGAGCATGCCTGGGCCCCATCCTGTTGGGAGGGGTCTTCTGAATGTGAGCACGCCTCCTCTCTGCGCACCGATCCTCTAACTGGGCTGCCCTCCTCTACTGACGTCACATCATGGGGTCAAGTACTGTACCCACCTTGTCTCTTTCTGAGAACCAACCCTGTTCCGAGTTTCCTCCCACCAACTGTACATCTTGGTTATTCCCAGAGGCTGCTTGACCACATGGGGAGCCTGGCCTTGAGATAAGCATCTCAATGTCTGAAACTGGCCCACAGTCCAAGCCCCCGCTTGCCTGTCTTCCTCCTCCTCTGAACTCCAGCCAGCCAGCCTGAGAATGTGAGCCCATAGCAGCCATCTTACTCACTCCCAGCGCCCCTGCATCTCCTCCTCTGCATGGCCGTTATCTGGGTCACAGTAAAAGGCAGGTCAACGAGCAGGCTGTGATGAAGAAGGGATGGAGCAAGCCCAAGAGTTTCTGTTAGTGGGGCCTCCACAGGTGCCCATCTATGACGACTCTTGATGTCCCATATTGTCTCTGCTCACCAGCCTTGGCTCTCCAGGGTCTCAGGTCGAGGTCTCAGTGGTTACCTGATTCTTTTAAGGGACTGAACATGGGACTCCCTGCATGCAAACCACATGCTCTGCCACTGAGCTCTGGGAAAACTCAGCAATGCTGTAGCCGTGATGACCAGAAGCCTTTAAATTCTTTGCTAAAACAGAGCTGATAGGATGTGATAAGCGGGTTGTATGTTTTGCTAGACAAATCAATGCAACCACATCCCATAACAATTAAAATGTTTTAAACGAAGGACAGGTTTTATTCATATTTAAAATTAAGGGAGCCATCCTATGGTCCCCAACACTGTTTGGGAAATCCTAGGATTTTTCCGAGTTCAAGCATTGAGGTTCTTCGACCTTGGCGCATGGACTCCGAAGGCTGAGACTCTGCCACTCACAGCTGGTGCAGAAAGGATCACGTCTGGTGCCTCCCAGGTTGCTGCTGGTCCTCGAGACAGGGGAGGCATGCTGGGGGATGGAGGGGAGGGCAAGGGGAAGCTTCTGGGGCCAGAGTGGCACTTACTCCAATCCACACCCCAACCGTCTTTGCTCTCCCACATCAGCCCTAAATTTAAACCAAAAATAGTAAGATATGGGTGGTGAGGACAGTGAGGCATATGGCCACTGCACCCTAAACCTTTCATTGGATGCTCATTCCAGGTTCAGGAGCTTACCAGGAGCTCTTTCGAGTAGTGCAAGGCCTGGTCCGTCCAGGTCCGAAAGAAGATCTGATTCCACCCTCAAAGGCCCACTGTGACGACTTTGCCAGGCATTTCAGGGAGAAAATTGCTCAGCTTCGTCGTGAGCTGGATTCCACTATTGAGTCAGAGGTCTTAAGGGAGACACCGATGCTGCCGTCTGGTCCAGAATTATTGGATGAATTTCAGTTACTGCGGCCCGATGATGTGGACAAGGTGCTTGGACAAGTACGTCCCACCACTTGCCTTTTGGACCCTTGCCCGTCTTGGTTAATAAAGGATTCCAAGCACGGGATTGGAACCTGGATCTTGGAAGTGGTTAACGTTTCTCTGAGGGAGGGTCGGGTGCCTGCCCCTTTAAAGGAGGTGGTAGTCCGACTGGTCCTGAAGAAGGCGTCACTGGATCCAGAGATGGCCACTAATTATAGACCAGTGGCCAACATCCCGTTTCTGGGCAAGGTGTTAGAGCGAGTGGTTGCGGGACAACTCCAAGCACTCTTGGATGAAACTGATTATCTGGACCCATTTCAGTCCGGCTTCAGACCCGGGTACGGTACTGAATCTGCCTTGGTCGCCCTGTACGACGACCTGTGCAGGGAGAAGGACAGGGGGAGTGCGTCCCTGTTGGTTCTCCTGGACCTTTCGGCGGCTTTCGATACCATCGACCATGGTATCCTTCTGGATAGGCTTGCGGGATTGGGGGTCGGAGGCACTGCTTTGCAGTGGTTCCGCTCCTATCTCAATGGCCGATTCCAGAAGGTGCTGCTGGGGGACTATGGCTCTGCGCCATGGCAGCTATGCCATGGAGTACCGCAGGGGTCCATTTTGTCCCCCTTGCTGTTTAACATCTACATGAAACCGCTGGGAGAGGTCATCAGGAGGTGTGGGCTGCGGAATCACCAGTACGCTGACGATACCCAGCTCTACCTCTCGTTTTCCACCAATCCAGGTGAGGCAGTGGCTGTACTGAACCGGTGCCTGGTCGAGGTAATGGGCTGGATGAGGGCCAATAAACTGAAGCTCAATCCAGACAAGACGGAGGTCCTGTTGGTAGGCGGTTCAGGCTTCGGAGAAGGTGAATTGAACCTTGTCCTGAACGGGGTTGCACTCCCTCCTAGGGATAAGGTCCGCAGCTTGGGAGTGCTCCTCGACCCAGAGCTTTCACTGGAAGCTCAGGTAACAGCAGCGGCGAGGAGCGCTTTCCTTCAGCTTCGGCTGATTCATCAGCTGCGCCCCTATCTGGAGTATGACTGCCTCGCAACAGTGACTCATGCACTGGTGACTTCCTGTCTTGACCTCTGTAACACGCTATACGTGGGGCTACCCTTGAAGATGGTCCGGATACTTCAATTGGTTCAAAATAGAGCTGCCAGGCTGCTGACGGGAACTGGATGTTATGTTGACATGACTCCAGTTTTCCGGCAGCTTCACTGGCTTCCCATTGAAGTCCGGGCCCAATTCAAGGTGTTGGTGATGAACTATAAAGCCCTAAACGGCTTGGGTCCTGGTTATCTGAAGGAGCGCTTACGTCCATATATGCCCAGCCGCCCCCTGAGTTCAGCGGGAGAGGCCCTCCTCCGGGAGCCCTCAGTGAAGGAAATTAGGAGGGTGGTTACTCGGAGGAGGGCTTTCTCAGCGGTGGCGCCTAAGTTATGGAATGCGCTCCCCAGAGAGGTCCGCCTGGCGCCGTCATTATTTGTTTTTCGGCGCCAAGCAAAGACCTTTTTATTTAAGCAGCATTTTAAATGTTAATATTATTGAATTTTATTTGGCCAGGGCGGCTTATTTTGTTCTACTGTATATATTTTAATTGTTATTGTTTTAATTTATTGTGTATTTTATTCGATGTTGTGAGCCGCCCCGAGGCTTTGGCAAGGGGCGGCATAGAAATGTTTTAATAAAATAAAATAAAATAAAAAAATACCAGCATCTGCTGTGACAGTTAAGGGATCAAGCCCTAAATTTACCTTTCTGCAATTTGAACATCTGTTTGAACTCCCTGTACTCTTATTCTGTGATGTTATTCTTTCGATGATGACGAGAATTCTTGTGCTGTAATTATTTTGCTAATCATCTACTCCTTAAAAATCAGTTATCCACAGATAACTGATGACAAGATTGTATGTTTAATATTTACAGTAGTAATGATGTTTTTCTTTCCTTTCTCTTCTAGGAAAGCTCAGAAAAGAACTGAGTAAGTTATTCTTCAGTTTTTGAGAAACAAAGATTTGACTACAATCCAATGCAAAGTCAGCAGCTTTGAACCCCACTCATTAAGCATATCTATTGGTGCAATTCTGTTTTTTAAAAGTGTAGTTTAATTTTTAGGCAAACAGTTGAGGGAACAGTCAGCCTCAAAAGCTCTGGTGGCTGAATCAATGCATAAACTTTAGGAGCAAAGAAAACTGGCTTACACCAAGTCAGATCAAGGCTCTATCCAGCTCTTTCTTTTCTATGTTGAGAGATTTAATACATTACATTTGGCAGTTACTGCACTGTTAACCACAGCATCTGTTTTTAGGTTCATCACAGCATTGGGACTCCAGCTCTACACAAACAGCCGTGCCTTGCCCTGCCCTGCCCTGCCTTGCCACTTTATGGGATTTTCAAACCCATTCAGTTTTTTAAAAAAGGAAGTTCATGAAAAATAAATCTCTAAGGCAGCAAAGTTGCCAACTCTTTCCTAAGAAAATACCTAACCTCCCCCCACAACCCCGCAAGAGGTGTAGAGTTCAGCAGCTTGATGCAAATCATTGTTTCAGTTCTGAAATAGCTTGAATTATTGGAAGGGATGCTGTCATGCTAACTATGAGAGGGGCCCAAGGGATTGCAAGTGATACAGATTTTAAATTAAGATGCCCCCTAAAACCGGAACGGACTACCATCACGATGATCATCGTCAGGAAACACGGCACCTCTAACAGAGAGCAGGACCATTTGCCTGACTTCCCCATAAGCCTTACATTACTGCTGCGACTCTTCTCTTGATGGATCCTCAGATCACAGACTCAACCACAGGAAACACCAAGGTTGTCCCTCTGATGAAGCCCATTCCAGATTATATCTCATTGCATAAACTTGTGTTCAATCTTCAAATGATTTAGGAAATCATCTTGTGGGGACCTTCCCATGTTGAAATGAAACAGGGCAACCTGCCCTAAACAAACTGCAATTTAATTTATATTCACAGTTCATATGTTCATGGGAGTTTTAGTTCTTTTTTTAAATTATGTGCTTGCTTTTAGGTTGGAGGAACTTGGTGATGCCAATAGAAAAAGGTAAAATGGTGTGTGTGCGTGTGCAGGCAGGCATTCTTTCACTGCATGGCTACACTGGCGGTGAATTTTTCAGATTGTTTTCCAATGTGTTAAAGTTGTGTGATGTACTTCATTTCTGAGTGGTGGGCAGCATTGTGTTTGCATGAACGTAAGAACATGAGCCAGTGTGAGAATAAAATGGAGAGGAAGAGGATTGTGTAAGCCCCTTGAGGTTCCTTGCAAGATAAAAAAGGCAAGATACAAACTGCTCACCCTGTGGCCAGTCAGCTGCTTGGAGGAAATATATAAGTCAGAGTAATTTCATTTTTCATGGCTATGCTATTGGCATTCTGAGCATCTTACAAATGATTAACTGTAGAAAGGCAATGTTGAAGAGCTCGGCATCTGCCAGAAGGGACTCCATGGAAATTCTTAGGTCTCCTCTGTTCTGAGGTACAGAATGTTCGACGTTGCCCAACATTATGAACAAATTGAAAAATTGTCTCACCTGAAGGTCTGGACTGACTGGTTGTCGTGTGTGTACACACGCGGTCCCTCTTTCGATGGCAAGGTGTAATACCACACCTCCTTCCAAGTGTGGCAAGGCAGCCCTGCTGCTTCTGGGACCCCTCCTGCCCATTCTGCTGAGGGGGGCCCTGGACTTCTACCCCAAACCCCTGCTCTGAGGGCACCACTCCCTTGTCTTAATGCACATATTTAAAATTATCATTATTATTGGAGGGGAAAGTCAGGAAAGCTGTTTGGAGCCATGCCTGCAGAGAAAGGTCAGGAAGAATGGCGCAAACCCTGACAGGAGCCCTTTTAGAAATTAAGAACCGGACCTAGTACTGGTGTAAGTGACTCGGTTTTCTTTTTGCAATGGGAAATGTCCTTTCTTCTTGTTCTGACTGAGGAGGAGGAGCTACAGCACTGGCTAATACATTCATTTTCTCCACCCCTTATTTCCCCCGACGCATTCCTCCCACCCTGATCCCTCTTCTACCCTGCAGCAAACGTGACTTTGGATCCGGACACGGCAAACCATGACCTGATCCTGTCTCCAGACCAGAAGAACGTCATACAAGGGTTCATGTGGCACAGCCTGCCGGACAACCCCGAAAGATTCAGAGCCGACCGCTGCGTGCTGGGAACAGAGGGGTTTTCCTCAGGGAGGCACTACTGGGAAGTGGAGGTGGGGGAGGAGGGCTACTGGGCGGTGGGGGTGGCCAGGCAATCCGTGAGGAGGGACGGGAAGCTCAGCCTGGAGCCTGAAGAAGGCATCTGGGCTGTGGAGAAGAGTCGGGTCCAGTATCAAGCCCTCACTGTTCCAGAGACTCCGCTGTCCCTGCAGAAGAAACCCCGGAAACTTGGGATTTACTTGGACTACGAGATGCAGCAAGTGACATTTCACGATGTCAATCACAAGACACACATCTACACGTTCCCCTCTGCCACTTTCAACAGCGAGCTGATCTTCCCGTTCCTGCACGTCGGGGTGGGGTGCTGGCTTAGGCTGTGCCCCTGAACTGTTCCTTACGCGAGGAGGGATGAGTGCACGGGAAGTGCCGGGCCAGCTGGCTAGGACTGGGGGACTGGGACTTGGGCCATCTGGGTTCCAGGCCCCCTCGGACCATGGTGCTCACGGGGTGGCTTTGGGCCAGTCACAGACTCTCCAGATCCCTGCCCTCCGCACTTCTAGCCAAGGGAAAGGGCGACAGGGCTCTGTGGGCAAGGACAAGCACAGCAGTTTGAGGCCTGAAAGATGCTGCTGAATTTGGCCTCTGTGTGCTGGCCGTGCCCCCAGAAATCCACTCTGGGAGCAGTGGACTTTGGCTCACTGCAACAGGTTCGCTCAGTGCCTCCAGCTGTGTTCAGCCTGGATATTTGTAAATAAACACAGATACTAGATAATGTCCCAGGTCTCCAGTCTGTTCATTCCGAAGGGATGAGTAAGCATGGCCTCCTGGGATTCCTCACTACTGGGAGCAGCGTGGTGAGCAAATGGCATCCTTATGGACTGAGCCTTTTTCCGCAGAACATTAGAATTTTTATTGCAAGCGTATAAAAGCTTGAGAGGGCAAGCACTGTAAGGGGCATCCACCATTCGCGTCATTCCTCCACCTCATCAGAAGTTGCCTCTTACAACTTACACATGCCCTATCCAGAAACAACTGAAACAGATGAAAAGTGGTTTCCCACTTCAAACAGTAGTTTTAGTCATGCAAATTTATGCATATTTGATTAACTCACCAAGACTTCTTGAATCAGGTGACAGCCCTAACTGAAGAGTTATATATAAAAAGAAACTAGTAGTCAGTTGGTCCTGGTTTTTAGCAAGGGTTTGCACACAATCCTAAAACATATTTTCCCTGCTATTTCCCTGTCCTTTCTTTTTCTTTTCAACAGAAAAATCTTTAAACATATTGGCTCCCAGACTTGGGAATCTCCCCTACAGCAGGTCAGACTATAGGGATGTCCACATTACACTGAATATGCATTCACACTGTATGTAGGAATTGTAGCACTCTTTTCTGTGTAGGGTTGCACCCTTAGAGACTTCCTTTAAACTGTACACCAACTGATCTGTTGTCATCTGGCTTCTTTCCCTTGCTCTTAAATACATCCTAGCCTTTGTTTCTTCTGTTAAATTGCCCACAGATTGTTTCTCCAACCCTCTTCCAGGAAATGTGCTGCTGGATTGGCTGGAAGCATTTCACAGTACTGGGTGGGGAATATTGGTACTTCCCCCCCTCCATCCTGCTGCAGCTTAAACCCAGGTCCACAACAACGGCTTGCCTATAGGGAAAATGGGGTGAAGCATCATGTACCAATTTTGGATGGGAGGAATCAAGGAGAATCTTGCCTCTCCACAAGAACATAAGAAGAGCCATGCTGGATCAGAGCGAAGGTCCATCCAGTCCAGCTCTCCATACAGTGATCGGATAGTTTCCGTTTCTCTCCATATAACCAAAGAATGCTATATAAGTAAGGGGAATTTGGAGGGATGCAGGAGGAGATCTTTGTTGCTGTCTGGGGATACTCTGATGACTTCAACTCTCTACCCCCCCACACACACAATTTCTGATGTGTGGGCTTCATTAAAGGATAACCCTAAATAGAGAGGGTTTTCCCCCTTCCTCTACAAGTCCATTTCAGAAAGTTGTTCTGAGACAAGTTGCTTTCCATGGAACTGGAGAAAAATGGCACTGCTGAAATAAAGATACGGGAGCCCGATGACCTCTGTTGCCTCTGATCGCCCCAGATTGTGCTTTCCCTCCTACTGCCTCCTTGCATTTTTCTCCCTGAGTCCCCCACTCCACTGAACTAGATGCCCGCCTTGCCCCTTTTCTTGCAAAGGAGGCAGGATCCTAAACACACTCACTCTCTCTTAACGCCTCAGGCAGCTGGCTCAGACAGCTGATTTGAGACATCATGAAAAAGAAGCAAATTACTCATTCGATCAATGCATTATGATTGTATTTTGACAGCCAAGGCTGGGGAGAGAAACTCTTGTAAGGTTTTTCAAGGGGCTAAAACAGATTGACTGGCTTGTGGGAAAGGGTTTCATTTGCTGCTCTGTCACAGGCAGCAAAATATCTTGAGTCCAGCCTGCAATGGCTATGGGGACCTGTGGGATGGGAAAAGGAAGCTGAGCTAGTGCAGAAATTATGTGGGTCAGAGAAAGGACTGGGGCTGCAGAGAGAAACAAGTTCAGGATTACATCAAATTTACTATGTAATCCAAACATGTTTTCTCTGAAGTAAACTGTACTGAATCCAATAGGATTTACTCCCAGCTTGAGTCTTCCTCCTTAGTAAATGTGCTCAGCACAGCAGCCTGCCTTTTCCACCCTGAAAACAGTTCCAGTCTCTGGGTCTAAGAGAAACCTGAGGAATGCCAGCTTTGGTGTTTTGAAGAACAAACAACCAAAGATAGCTGTGCAAGTCCATGAGAAAGATAAACCCAAAATCCACACCTGATCAATAGTCTTTTTTATCAGGAATTTACGTTTGTCTTAATAAAAGTATCTAACTATGCCTTTTGGTACTTTATGATTATGCAGTTCCTAGAAATTAAAAATGGCAATATTTGATGCAGATTTCTAGATATGTGACTCCATCAACATGTGTTCTAGAATCCCGCAATTTAAATCCCCATTTATTTCAAAATGAATTATTTGAAATAAAATGAGTAGCCAACTTTGGCAACAGCTCTGTCTCATCTGCTTCACATCCAGGAGCAGCAAAGCAATGTTCTTCAAGTCCTGAGGTCTTTGTCCAGTTTTGATGTTCTGGTCCTAAATGGTTCGAGACCACATTATATTAGGGGGCGCCTTACTCTGTCACAGTGTGCATGAGTTCCTGGAGGCCTAATACCCAGAAGAAAATGAAGAATGAAAAAGCAGGATGGGACTGACCAGGCTGAGGAAACCGAGAGGCCAGGAGTGGATGGAGAAAGCGACATAACAGACAAGAGAAGCCCAGCTGCACCATCCAGAGAGAGAATCGAATGTGAATGTGATGTGCCTGAGTTCAAGATAAGGACTAGCACATGTGTTCAAGATAAGGACCAGCACGTTCTGTGTGTCAGCTCTGCTCAGAGGAGTTCACTGTTCAATCCAGTTGGACTAAGCTGATAGCGTCAACTCTAAGGTATAAAATGACTGGGCTTTCCAGCTCCCGTGTGTGTCAGAACAGCGCTGCAGCTGGTCACCCACAGTCCCGATGGATCGCCGGGAGGGTCCACTGGCTCTGAGTATGAGTGTTGCTTGAATGCGAGTGTGAATGAGGCCTCTTGATATTGATGCTGATGATCGCTGAACTTGTATTCTTATACCTCTGTATTCTTTATATCATAGAATAAATGTTACATGCACAGTGTTTAAAACCAGATCTGGAGTTCAGTCTCTCTTTGAGAAGGGCTTTCCTTGGAAACCTGATAGTCTCCTCTTCACTGAATCAAGGGCCGCTTTAGCACGGTCACAACTCCATATATTCCTGCCCATTGCTTAAGATCAACCAAGTTCCTCCCCACAGGGAGATTCGGGGGGAGACTGCGAGGAGGAGGGCCTTTCTGTGGCAGCATCCCAACTCTGGAATATGTTGCCTCATGAAATTCACCAGGCACCTACTCTGCTGAGTTTCGGGCACCTGGAAAAACCTTTCCTTTTCAGCATGCCTATCACCTACAGACCATTATGACTCGTTTCACTGTTTTTATTATATTCTTATTTTATTTACTGTGTATTCTGATTTTATTTTGTTCTATTGTATTATGATATTTTAAATCATTTTGGTTTTATGTAATGTTATTTTATCGGTATTTATTATTTTAACGGCTGCCCAGAGAGCGTGGTGCTAGTGGGAAGCTTTCAAATAAATTCAATCAATCAATCAATCAATCATTGGTTATGAGGAGGGTAGTGAGTCAGGATTCTTCAAAGGTAATCCCTTCTATGTGAGTCACTCTCTAGTAACCATGTAAGTTTGCAGCCTAAGCACATGGTTTATTATAGTACATTGCTACAGTACATTGCTACGGTCTCCCTTCTCACTTGTCATGTTCAGTTTGCAATTAATAAGTACATGCTTGAGATGTCTGTAATTTAAGGCCAGCCTCCCACCTTCCATTGCTAGACTAAACCTGCCTGGTGCTTGAGCTCAGCTCAAAACTGTACTCCACAGCATGCCAGTAGCCAAAAGTTAAAAAGAAGGAAAGGGAAAAGCTCTCCATGCCCATTAGTAGTGCTATTTACGGCCCTTGAGGCTGCAGGTGGCCCTGTACCTGTGCCTATTAGCACAGCCCTAATGGTGCCAGTGGTTTAGAACTAGGGAAGAATGCTGAACTACAGTTGAATAAGAGCAGAAGTTAAAACTTCTCTTTGTGGCTGCACTGGAAAAGGAACTACATAGGCTTGTTCATACATGAGTAAACCATCAAAACTCTAAACTTAGCACCACCCCTCAACACAGGGTCAGATTAAAAGTAAGTTTACCAAAACAAAGAAGGAAGGAAGAGGGGGACTGGGTTACCAGAAATAAGAGGGGAAAGGGCAAGAGGGTAGCAGCACTAAACGAAAAGAACCAAGGCTGAGGCTTTTGTTTTGTCCTGATCCCAGGCACCTGCACTCCTTGGTGCACCACCAGGATAAAACAAGAGAGCAAGCCTAATATGTAGGTTACCTAATACAGGCCCCCTTGCCATGCAGGTCTCAGAAATTGGTAGGGGAAAAAATACCTCTCACTAGATCAGAATCCAGCAGGAGACAAAGATGCTCCAGGCAGAGTAACCACTCTGAGGAGACTCCTCTCTCCTCTACTCCCTCCGGCTGCCAGTAATTCTCATCTTTGCAGTTCAGGGCAACAACTCTAGCCAGAAATCCTTGGCAGGGACCCGTCCTTGGCAATAAGCCTTGGTACATAAATCGCTCCCTCTTCCCGGACATCTCCTGGACCAAGGAAGTCTTTCATTAACTCTTCACTGTCTTCTGAGACCTCCACTACAGTGCCATGCAGCTCTTTGCTGGCTCTCTGCACCTGAATCGGTCCTGAAAGACCAAGGAAAGTGCAGGAGCATCAAGGGTATGTTTTAAGCTTGCACTGTTTGATGCAACACACAATTCTGTCCTCAGAGCAAGGAGAGCTTCATTAGCTTCTCTGCCATACAACTGTAGAGAGCACTTGCTGGGATGGATTTCTTTCTCTGGGGATGCAATTCATGGGATTGCATTTACTGCCATGAATCTTAGAAATCTTTCCCAACCTTGTTGCCACCCAGATGCTTGGGATTACAGCTCCCATCATTACCCACTGGACATGCCGGCCACAAATTTATTTTTATTTTCCCAGTATTTTAATAAGTAATCTGGTTTTATTCTTGTTTTTATTCCTATTTTAGATGCAGTGCACGTTTTTTGTCACTGTTATGGGTTCTGTTTTTGGTTCGCTCTCTGTAAAATCCCAGAGACTTTTTTAATAATTGGGACACCATAAAAAACCTTTAATAAATACAGTGGTACCTCAGCTCATGAATGTCTCAGTTCACAACCAAATTGGGTAACAAACCCAAAATTTCATAACAACTTTGCCGCAGGTTGCAAACTCCGCATTGGGTGACGATCATGATGGTGCCCCATTGCGGTGATGCTTGAGGGTGGGGGGAAATGGCCATGATCATGCTGTGGGTGGTGGGGAGATGGCAGCGATCATGCGGGGGGGTGCGGGAGATGGCCGTGATTGTGCCCATCCTCCCTGCCCGAGTCTGACCGCCTATGGCCAAGGTTGCGCTTGTGCAGGGAAGATGGGTGTGAACTCAGTGGTGGGGGGGGGGGGGGGAGATGGATGCGATCTTTGTTGTTCTTTGGCACTTTGTTTCAAATTTTTATGAGTAAAAAAAAAAAAATAGATACAGAAAGGATTAACCTTATTTAAGGTTAATTTAAGGGAGCCAGTGTGGTGTAGTGGTTAAGAGCATGGGACTGGGACTCAGACAATCTGGGTTTGAGGCCCCGCTCGGCCATGGAGCCAACTGGGTGACTTTGGGCCAGTCACAGACTCTCAGCCCAACCTACCTCACAGGGTTGTTGTTGTGGGGATAAGACGGAGGAGAAGAATGATGTAAGCTGCCTGGAGCCCTTTGTAGGAAAAAGGCAGGATATAAATTGGAAAATAAATAAATAAATAAATTGAAAAATGTTTACATTGAATTGTATGGGGAAATTTGACTTGGCTCACGACCAAGCTGGGTCATGACTAGAGTCGTGGAACAGATTATTTTCATGAGTCGAGGTACCACTGTAAATGACAGGCATTGGGGTTTAAAACATCTGGAGGGAACTAGATTTGTGAGGTGTGCACTGAATCAATTTCAATGGGTGACTCTAAATTCTACGGTTAAGAGAAAGGGAGAAAATTTTTATTTTCTCTACTCCATCATAGACCTTCAATCCCAATTACCTTATAGAGCAATGATCTCTACAGCATTTTAATAATAACTCAAATGCATAGGTGAAGAACTCTGTATCTCTCTTGACATTCTTGGACTTCATCATTCCAGGACTGCATGGCCAATATGCAAGGATGACGAAAACGACCGTCCAAGAACATCCAGAGGGCTACAAGTTCCCCACCTATGTTATCAAATGGCTTAATCCAGTCTTTCATCAGCAGCTGCCCATCAGATGATTTGGAGTACAGCTTCCATCAGCCTCACCACTGGCCACACGCTTCCTGGGGAAGACGAGCACTTCAGCCTAACACACAGAGGGAACCAGGTTGAGGACGCGTGGTCTAAGCTCCCTCCTCCTCTTGCATTCATCGCACCCTACCGAACAACTCTTCCCTGAGTCCGATTACTTTGGCAGGCGCCTGCCAATCAAAAGCACAGCCAGAAAAGCCGTCCACGTGCCTGGCGGCAGACTTCCTACCGGTTGCCATGGCACCACAGACTATAGGCTGCTGTGTATCTAACAGGCTGAGGGCAGGAAAACACACACACACACGCACGCAGAGGGACATGGCAAGCTGCCTTCTACCGAATCAAGCCAGCGCAGTATGAGCGACCGCGACAAGCAGCAGTAGCATTGCAGCTTCCAGGCAGCAGCTTCCCCCAACCCCACCAGAGGTGCCAGAGCCCCGCGCCAGGGCCGGCCTGCCTGCCTCCCTGATACGACTCACCGCCGCAGCGCCCCTCCTGCCCAGTTCCGATAAAAAGGCCCGCCACGTGCTGCCCCCTCGCAGCGCGCGCGCGCCCGCGCCCCCACCGTCCTTTCCCATTGGCCATAACGGCCCAATAGCCGAAGAGGCGCTTGAGGAGCGGTGGCCAATCAGGAGTTTCGGTGCCGTGTGGAGCGGGGAGGAGTCTAAACAAATCATTCGATCGCTCCGGGTCTGGCGGGGCGCTGTTATCTTCCGCGGCTGCTGCGTGAAGCGGGTCGGAACACGGAGGGGAGGAAAGGTAGGCAGGGCTGGAGAGCAGTGTGCAGTACGCTGGAGCTGAGAAGGTGGGCACGCGGACGAGCCCGGAGAGGAAGCACGGCGGAGTGTCTGTAGGACGGTCCTCAAAGCAGTAGCGTTTTATTATAGGGCCATAGTCGCGGCCCCTGTTAAGAGTGAGTCGGCTGAATTGCATTGTGTAGTATTAACAAATGCGACGGGGGATGGGAAGGCTAGTCTGTTCTACGGCTTATACAGAGAGAGCTGCTCAGCAAACTGATTTCCAACTCAGCAGGAATGTAAAGAAAAAGGGATGACCTTTTTGTTTTTTAATGATTAGTTTAATTTGAATCATGTCTTCATAAAATAGTACATTTGGCTCTCATTGAAAAATAACACAGTTAAAATGAAATGGCATTATAAACATTCTAAATCTACTTTTTCAGACTCATAGAATGACATTATCAAGCACTCATAAGCATTAATGTTAAAATTTCCTTTCCTGAAAATGACTGCCTAGCCTAATTACAGCTTTTATTTCTTGGCAACCACTTGCACTGACTAAGGCTGCAGATCATAACAGACCATGGGGAATTAACCACAATCCACAAACCAACAAACAACCATAGGCTCTCTTTGTGATCCACAGTTAGCAAGTTATGGCTTGCTATCACAGCTGGGTTCAAACAACTCACATTCAACAGGAACCATACTCAGTTCCTAAGTGAGGTGTTCACGTTGACTGAACATAGTCCATGTTTTGTAGTATTGCTTTATGTACAAAGATACACAGCACAAATGGAGCAGAGCCGTTCCTATAAGGCAGAGAATCTGATCCTTCCAGGTTGACTCCCGAGAGCAGGGGCCAGCATTCCAACATGCCTCTATGTTATGCCATGCTAGTTGCGAAGTGCGACCCCATGGACAACTTTCCTCCAGGCTCTCCTATCCCCCACTATCCCCCACCCCCCAGTCCACCTAAGCTCACACTGACTGCTCCAGTGGCTCCATCCAGCCACCCCATCCTCTGCAGTCCCTTTCTTCTTTTGCCATCTATGTTGTGTCCGATAGACCTGAACCAAGGTGGGGCCAGTTCGTTGAGCACAATAACAAGAGGTGGCTGTCACAGTAACAGGAAATGGCTACGCGCTAGGAAAGCACTGGTATGCAACACTGAACACGCTACTACGTGCAGCAAGGAATGCAAAGGCATGCAACAATGAGCTTGCTAAAGCCAAAAGTAACCGCAAAACCCTTGAGCTTCTGTACTTCACGCTTGCTGAAACTGCTTGTAATTCTCCCACTGGCGTACAAAGTAACGGTTAGCGCCAGGTACATCCGAGTTGAAAAAGTATAAAACCTGTACCATCCCTATAGCAGGGGCCGCACTCCTCCCTGAGAGTTGGTCCCTGCACAGGTATATTAAAGGACCCTTCAACTCTCTATACTTCTTGTCCAGTGGTCTCATTCGATCGCGCTACAACAATCTATTGCTCCCAGCATCAGGGTCTTCTCCAGTGAGGCCTTCCTTCTTATTAGGTGGCCAAAGAATTTGAGTTTCAGTTTCAGTTTCATCTTCATCTGTCATCTCACAGCTTGCTTTCTGCTCTTTCAAAGTGCTGTTTTTGTATAAGTATGCATGCACACCCCTCTCCCAAACCCTCCTTGGCTGGTAACTTGCTTTCAAGAAAACACCCAAAGCCATGAAAAGAAAGTTACTTGATCTCTGGCCCCTGTACCTGTTCCTTGATTCAAAACCTGAATGGGCGGCCCCTTCAAAGGAAATGAAGCAGGGTAGACCCCTGAAAACAGTGCTGGTGAGCACTGAAGGAAAGGAAGGAAAAGGAAGCTACTCTGCTGTGTGTTTCAGATGCTTCCCTGCCTGATCACTGGGAGGCAGAACAGGTCGTCTGTAACCAGGTTGTGAGCCTGTAACCAGGTTGTGAGCGGGTTTTAGTAATGATGACTTCACCCTTAAATAATGTGCAGTGTCAGCGAAGGAAGGATGACCTCAGGCTGTGGCCCTACTCATGCTTAACAAGAGCAGGCCACTGGGGCATGGTGTTTGGTGGTTGTGCTCATGCATGAGTGTACCTCCCATTCCTGAATATTGGGGTTCTAGGAGATACTTCATTAGATTGGGAGTGCATTTCATAATTTTGGAATGCTAATAGTTAAAAACTGTTTTCGAGCATGCCTTGTAAAACTTCCTGCTGCCTCTTGTGTGTCATAGCTACTGGTGAGATTAGCACTTCCTGATTGTGCAAATGGAACGCCTCATTCAGAGCAAAAACAAAACCAAACTTGATCCTTGTACTTTACAGAAAATCAACACCCATGGCTGCACCAAATCCAGAAAAATCCCTCCAGGATGAAGCCACTTGCTCTATTTGCCTGGATTATTTTCAGCACCCAATGATGATCATTGATTGCGGGCACAACTTCTGCCGAGACTGCATCGCCCAGTGCTATGCAGGATCAGTTAATGTGCTTTCCTGCCCGCAGTGCAGAAAGCCCTTTCCCTTGCAAAACATCCGGCCAAACAGGCACTTGTGGAACATTGTAGAACTGGCGAAGCAGTTCAGCCTCCGACGGGCGAGTGAAGCTGGAGAACAGAAGCTGTGCAAAAAGCACCAGGAGCCCCTGAAACTCTTTTGTGAACAGGATCAAACGTCCATCTGTGTGGTGTGCGATAGATCCAAGTTGCATAAAAACCACACGGTCACTCCTATAGAGGAGGCTGCCCATGTCTATCAGGTAATGGGGGCCAGTGGAAAGGGTTCATGGCATTTCTCCAAATGCTGGATGGGATGATGGGATTTTGGTCCACCAGCTTTTGGAAGGCCGGTTTACAGGAACATGTTTTTCCAGTAATGGTGTTTGGATTCCAAACTAATGGTCTGCTGAAGAGAAAACATGGTGAATTGAGGGAGGGCAGATTATGAGAGAAAGCCAGCTATCCTCAGTGAAATAAATCATAACCCACGGAGGGGTATCTTAGATGGACAGGAATTGGGTAAAATTTATTTATTGGTACAAAGGAAGCTGCCTTGTTTAAGGGTTTTTGATCACCTGCTTCCTGATAGGGCATTGACCCAGGGAATTTCAGCATGCAAAGCATGTCTCTGATACGATTAGCACCTATAATGGCCTGCTTTACACATGACGCTAGCCATGTGGTTTGTTGAAACCTGGCTTGTCACTGTGTCCACACCCATCCATACAAACCCACCGCATGCAGAATTCTTGGTTGACAGCATCTGTCTTGTCCAGGTTGTGGCTTGTCATGTCTAAGTCCAGAGCCATGAGTTATCCCTGGTTTGTTTATGCCAATGTCTGCTCTGAAACAGAGGCATTCATGAGTAATTCTCAGAGTTTAGTATTTCATTGTGTTGGATAGGTTAGTTTTGCAGCTGATTTTTATTAGTACAGTGGTACCTCAGCTCACGAACGCCTCAGTTCACGACCAAATTGGGTCACGAACAAAAATTTCATTTAAAAATTGACTCAGGTCACGAACTCCGCATTGGGTGGCAACCACGATTGCGGCCGTTTCCCCATCCACCTGAGTGGGGAGATGGCCACAATTGTGGTGGGGGTGGGGGAGATGGTTGAGATCGCACCCGTCTTTCCTGCATGAGCGCGCCTGTGATTGCGCCCGTCTTTCCTGCACGAGTGCAACCGCAGTCTCGGCCATCTCCCCACAGCACGATTGCTCCTCTCTCCCTCCCCCCCGGTGCACTGGGATGACGGGCGCGATTGCAGTCATGCTGAGGGGGCAGGGAGATGGCCACACTCGGAGTGGGGGTGGGGAGATGGCCGCGGTCTTTGTTGTTCTTTGTCACTTTGCTTCACATTTTTCTGATTAAAAAAAATAGTTACAGAACGGATTAACCTTATTTACATTGAACCTTATGGGGAAATTTAACTTGGCTCATGACCAATTTGGGTCACAATCAGAGTCCTGGAATGGATTAAGTTTGTGAGCCAAGGTACCAGTGTAGTTCATTTTGTTTTGAGGTTTATGGTATATGTTTGTTTCCTACTGCGCATAGGAAGTCATATTGAAAAGCCACCTTAGGAAAAAGATTTCAAATGTTTAGGATAGTGTAAAAACACAGAAAAGCTGGAAACCACCAAGCAGTTGGCAATTGGGGGAGAGGGCGTGGCTAACTGTGGAGGCCCAGAAGCCCTGAGTCCGTTCCAGGTTGGCCAGGCTGAGGTTCTGTGCCGAGACTAGTATTATTAGCTAGTCTTGGACTGGCCAAACTGGTTCAGCAACAATAAAACATGGGCTCAGTTTACTGCTGTCAGGACCCATAAGCCTCTGCATGTGAAGATTTATGTGCATCTAGTACAGGAGGAGGTGTGTCAGCATCGATCGCCACTGCCTTGCACTTTGTGCCTTGCACTCGTCCGGATGGCCGCAGAGGGAGAGGAAAAGAGCTGGGGTTGACGTGGTTCCATCTTGAGTTGCACAGTTTGGGGTGGCCCAAAGTTGCCGCCTGGCTGCACAGCTCCTCCTGTTCCTTCTGCTTTGCTATGCAAATGGGCAAATACTGGCATGAAATGTTGTGCCAGCAAGTGTCCTGCACCCAGAAAGGTGGGCCAGGCGTGATTCACTGGCATCTTGTAGAGGATAAAACACTTCTGTGTAGGTGTACGGGTATTATTTGGGATGGCACAAAGCTTACAGTAGGTTGTATAGCCCTCATTCCTCACTTGTCATCTGCAGGCATCACATATTGATAAGTGTTGTGCAAAAATGACAGTTTCACTCAGAGAGAATTCTTCTGAATCTCCAAGGGAATAGTCCCCCTTCCAGTCATGGAAATATACAGTATGCAACCTCCTTGAAAATAAGGAACTGGAAACAGTAAATAACTTCAGTATTACCCCAGATTGGTTGGTTGGTTGGTTGCCTGCGTGTGTGGAAAAGAAACCGTAAGCTGAAAATGTGTGTGTCTTTCTCAGGAACAAATACAGCACTGTTTGAAGACTCTGAAAGAAGAGAGGGACAAGGTTTTAGCCTTTAAATCGAATGCTGCCGTGCCAAGCGAAGATCTGCTGGTAGGTTTGGCAAGAAATGGAAGGCGGTCGTGTGGGGGACACGTAGCAGCGATGCTCCCTGTGCTTTGTGGGCATGTGGCACTTGCATGGCAGTGGCTTGTCCTAGAGCACCCGAGCTCCAATTTTGTGGCAGGATTCTCAGGCTAAGGGCAGTGCTTTTTCCTAGAGAAATAGACATAACAGTCTGCAGATTTAGGAAGAGGCGACCCAGCATGGCCAGTGGCCCAGGGAGAGAGACGTTGTAGTCCATCAGTCCCTGGAGGGGCACCGGCTCCCCACTCCTGCCCTAGAGGAATAGCTGTTGCCCACGTCCAGCTCACAGACACCATGGCCTGCCAGCAGGTCTGAAATGGCCTGGGCCGGGGTTTGCTGCCCCTGTGGCAACACTCATCTGGAAAGCATCTCAGGTCCCCATGGTTTTCTTTTCTTGTTTGTCTCTGTTTGCATCTGTCCAAACCAGAGGGAAGCCGAAGTGGAGAGGCAGAAGCTTTTGTCAGAATTTCAGCAGCTGCACCAGGTTCTCAAGAAAAAAGAGCAACTTTTGTTGGACCAACTGGAGAAGTTGGAGAAAGAGGTAGAGAAGAGGAAGGAAGACCACGCAAACAATTTTTCTGGGGAGATTTCCCGTCTCAACACCCTAATCAGCGAACTTGAGCAGAAGTGCCAGGAGCCACCAAGTGGGTTGCTCCAGGTAAGTCTGCAAGAGGCAGCTGCTTCCCCTTTGACTGCACAATTGTCAAGGTTGAGCACTTCCATCAAGGGAAGTTCAAATGGTTCCTCATCACTGTTAACTTTAAAAAAAACTGAAGACATTTATTCTACTCTGCATATATAAGATCATGTACTTTTATAATGTTGCTGTGTCACCCAATAGCCAAAGCTCTTTGGGCAGCTTACAAGATCCACTTATACATTACAAAAACATAACAAAACCCCCCAAACATTAAAACAACAGAATAAAATGGAAATAAAAGCCATCAGCAGTGTGAAGATGTAAAATGCACTAAAAGGCTACAATGTAAGCATCAGCGAGCACCTCTGAGGAGGGCATTCCACAATGGAAGGTGCCATCGCTGAAAAGGCCCTTCGTGTAGCTCCCCACCCCACTTCATTTGGCCAGGGAATATGGAGGAGAACCTTGAAGATGCCCTTCGGCCTCTTATGGGAGAAGACTGTTCTTCAGGTACTCTGGGCCCTATCAGAGCAGGGCTGCAGAAACTTTCTGCGCAAAGGCCAAATTCCATTTTAGGGAATGGGCTGGATTTTACTGGTGGGTGAGACTGAGGGCAAAGGGGTGGAACCAGCAAACCAGCATATTTTGTGACGGAGTTCTTCTGCCAGTAACTAAGCCTCAGGAGAATTTTCAACTTTTGGAATGGGACTAAACACTTCAGAAGAGCTGGGAAGCCACCAGATGGCTGGTGATAGAAGGAAAGGGATGTCATCATCTAGGGGAGCCTAGTGGGTCAGATTTGGCTCCCAGCCTGAGGCTCCCCACTTCTGGTTTAGGACTTCAAAGAAGTTTGCTGGAAACAGACTGGAAGTTGGCCAGTGTGTGTGTGTTTTAAGCTGTAGTTGCATTGTGCAATCAGGTGCCTTTGAGGGCAGTGTGCAAAGATTCTGAAGGTCAGCGGGGCTGGTTAGGGCTTAGAGATCACTCAGGCACACCATCAGCACTGATTTTTCTGCTGAAAGAAAGAGAGGATGTTAAGCTAATAATGTAATAGCAACTTCTGAAGAAGGGATTCGAAAGATGTGCATGTTAGACCGAAATGTCTAATCTGTTTGTATTACTCCCCCTTTTCTCCCCAGGATATTGGAAGTATCTTAAACAGGTACGAGGTTTCTTTTTCTTGCTATTGTTTCTCCATACCTGAGACTCACAAGACCTAGAAGCTGGTGGCGGGAGGGGCAGTTCTGAAGTCCTGTTTTCCAAGCAAGCCCAGATTTTATTTGTCGCCAGATTGTTTCCATGGAAAATACAAAATGGGCAGGGTGCAGTCCAGCAGGGATGTCCATAAACCTCTGGACTCTGCGGATTGCAGGCATCCTATGCAGGGCAGGAGGACGGTAGAAATGATCCTCATCTCCGCACTCCTCCTGGCCTGCAGTTCAGCTAGAGAGGCCTCTCCGGCTATCCCGCTGCTGCGCTTCAGGTGAGGAGGAAAGGAGGCCGGAGTGCTGCCGGTCTGTGTTGGAACCTGGCAGCCCCAGTCTCCTCCCCTCCCTGACCTGCTCCTCACCTCCTTTACGTCTCCTCTGAGGTTGGACGTGAAACCCCGGAGAAGCAGCCGAGGTGGTTCCTTGCATGCTGGCTGTGAAGGAAGGGAGGAGGGGTGGATTGTGCCTCCCCCCTCGCAGGGGGTCTCTTTTCTGGGTAGTACTAGGATCTCTGCCCAGCAGCATGTTTTATTGGACTAACTTAGGTTGATGTCAAACAGCCTCCCCACAACCTGTTTCCCTCCTCAAGTTTTGGATTTCAACTTGCTGGCATAGCCAAAGACTGGAAATGCTGGGCATCGGCATTCAAAAGGTTTGGATGGCACCAGGTTGGGGAAAGCTTATGTGGGAATATGCAAGCTTTGGACAGAAATGTATTTCTTCTACGAGTGCATTACCTTTTGAAGGGTTTCATTGTGCTTGACACTTAAGTTCAGAGAAGGAAAGTTTCCCGCCCTGCCCCCAAGAGCCAAATGCAACCCCAGAAAGCCCCTCTGGAGGGTTGGGTGACCCTCGTGGGACCAGAGAGGAGAGGAACCACCTCTGAATTGGTTTCAGTTAACTTACCTTAGGATCTAAGCCATCAGCTTCTCAAATAAAACCTTATAATCAGGACTCAAGATGCAATATAAAAAGCCTGTCTGCTTATTCTTTCAGCACATTTATGGTTTTTAAAATGTTTGCTTTAAATAGTTTTCACAAGTAGTTTTAAATCTCGGTGGTTCAAGACCACAGAGGCTTTGTTCCACAGAGGAACTGCTGCTTCTTTCTCTCTCTTTCCCTCTTCCCTCCCCATTTGTGTGTGTGTGTGTCTGCATGTGTGCGTTTGTGTGTGTACACATATATACATATGTATGCTGAAGAAAAGAATGATGAAGAGTGCAGCAGTGGAGAAAAAAGTCATGGATTTTATTCAGTATTCATTAATCATGTTGTATTCCTCCCAGTAATCAGCATTCTTTGAGTATTAGCTAAAATTGTGTTCCATGTTGTAGGTGGGAGTTAAAGTGGGTTCCTGGCCAGGAATGACTGAGACTACGAGTTTAAGCACTTATTATTTATTTGTTTGTTCATTTATTAAAAGCTTTTCTACCCTGTCCACCACTAGCGTCCTAGGATGGCTTACGATGAAAAGACTGTGGGGCAAATGCAGGCCCATAATCAACAAGTCACCCTCTGCACTCGGCTGTGGCCCCATAGCTGTTGGACAGCGGTTTGCTGCCATTTATCACTTATGCAGCGCTTTACAATATGAGGCAAGGATTTTCAGAGTGCAGAATTAAACTGTGGAATGTTCTGCCACTGGATGGATGGATGGATTTCATTTGTATCCCACTGTTTTTCCAAGGAATTCAAAGTGGCTCACATCATTCCTCCTTTCAATCTTGTCCTTACTACAACAGCCCTTTGAGGCAGGTTGGGCTGTGAGTCTGTGACTGGCCCAAAGTCACCCAGGAAGCTCCATGGCTGGATGGGGCTTCAACCTGGATCGCCTGAATCCCAGTCCCGCGCTCTTAACCACTACCCCACACTGGCTCTCAGATATGATGACCACCAGTTTAGATGGCTTTAAAAGCAAACAGAAAAATCTGTGGAGGAGAAGGCCATCCATGCTCAATAGTCCTGCCTCTGGAAGCCTGTAGAAGCAGTAGGCCTCACAATACTAGTTGCTGGGGAAACAGGGAGAGAGGGCGACTGCCTTAAGGTCCTGTTTGTGGGCTTTCCACAGGCATCTGGTCAAGCCACCTACTGAAAGGAAACCGTCTCCCAGCACCCAGCTGCAGACGCATCGGTCAAGGTCTGTGTTTTCTTGGCAGGCCAGTTACACTGTCAAAACCCTTTCTGCATGTCATGCATTTGGCCCCTGCTGAGCACTGACTGAGCTATAGTTCCAAATTTCAGAAGTCCCTCAACTATATATTGATTGATACACTCTGGGGGGGAAAAAAGGTGCACCGTAAATTGTCATGGATTGGGTTCCATTTTGGTTTTGTACTAACAAGAATTAGTAAAGGGAAATCTCAAGTTCCTTTTCCAGTTTTCATTAAATCCAAATATTCTCAATCAAACTTGGCATGAAAATACAACCACGTAGGCTTAAACAGTGAGAAAGGCACAAGAGGCCAGCATTTCTTAGCATTCCTTATTATCAAAGTTTTCAGTCTTAAGGGAATGTTAGTTAAGTCCCATTTTTCTCCAAGGGCTTCTCTACATGAGGATCGAATTACGCTTGACATAGCAGGGCCACCCTCCAAGCCTTCTTTAGATTGGGGAAACAATTATCTGGTAATTGCATCATGAAAAGCTCATTAATTTTGGCAATTGTGCTGCATCGCACCATCACCTTTTGGTTGCACAGTGAAAAGTATGGAAAGGCAGAGAAACTAAAATCCTGGGGGAAACTGTGTAAAAGGGTCTATCTTAAAACCTGTGAAGGATCTAGAAGCAAAAGGCTTTTTCAAGTGGCAGGTTAAAAGTCACAAGTGGAGAAGTCCAAAACAGGCAGCCGAGCGATAGGGAGCTTCTCAGCTTGTGAGTTGATATGCTCAAAGCACCTGAGCGTATTGATGCACTTCCTGCAACATTATCTGTTTTACATGCATTTCAGCTCAGTCTCAGTTCAGAGTTTCCACAAATGGAGAAATAAGGTTAATGTGCATCATTCAGGGTAGATAAGATCCTGAGGCTGGTTCTAAATCCTGTCTTTGAGAAAACAATCCCCATCTCAAAATTCACTACTTAAAGCGGGGACCTCCAGTGTGGCGCTCAGGAGTGCCGTGGTGCCTGTACAGGCAAGAGGTGCCCTGCAAGCTGAGAGAGCCTTGCATTTGTTTGCACAGGTGGGGAAAGCTCCTCCTCGCCAGAAATGGCTGGATGGGTGGGGAAGTCCACCTCCCACCAAGGATTCTTGGGCCAGCTAGCCAGTATTTGGCGGCTGCTCTCCCCATGCAGGTGAATGGAGAACGTGCTCCATTTGTTTCCATGGACATGTGAGAATAGGAAGGGGGAAGGAAAGAAGGGACACATTGAAGAAAGGAAAGAGCGGGGAGTCCTGGAGGAAGGGAAGGGCAGAAAGGAAAGAAAGGATTTGCGGGGGTGAAAAGAGGCAATAAAGAAGTCAAGAGTAGGTAACACGCACACACAGTGCACATTCATGCATGCTCACAAATAGATAAGAGGCACTCCTAATGCTTTTGTGGTTTGCCCCTTGCCCCCCCCCCATAGCTCCTAATTCATGGGGTGCCCAGGCATTTTGTTCAAAATGCCAGGTGCTCATGGGCTCAAGCTGAAAACCTAATTCTATTGTAGTTTTTCTACCTTGTACAGTATTTGCTGCCCATTACACTATCGGTGATTACTGGGTAAGCAGAACTCTTAGTACAGCTCTGATGATAAGAAAAAATGCAATAACATTTTGCAAACTAGCATGCTTCAGATAAACATTGACTTGGTTCACCCAACAAGATGGCAGCTGCTGCAAACCTGCCTCTTAGAAGCTCCCCTTCGTCCACTGCTCCCTTACCAGCACTCTCCACTCCGTGCTCCTAAAAACTGAGAGGAAAGGACACTGAAGAGTATCCCAAACATAGTAACAACTTTAAAAATTATTAGTGGCCCTGTGCCTTGTGTGCAGAAGCGAATGCTGCTGCTAGGAAATGTATACAGTTTTCCCCTTAGTTTTATTTGTGTGTGTGTGTGTGTGTGTGTGTGTGTGTGTGTGTGTGTGTGTGTGTTTTCCTGCAAGGAACTCAGACTTACCTGATCTTCCTCCTTTCCTTTTTACAACAACCCTTTGTGGTAGGTTAAGCTGAGAGTCAGTGACTGACCCGAAGTCACTCTGAACTTCAAGGCCAAGTAGGGGCTAGAATCTGATCTCCCTATTTTAGTCCAACACTCTAACCACTATGCGACACAACGTTGCCTTGAAATGTGCCATGTTACCTTCTGTTTTGCTGCTTTGCCATGACATTTGTGCATATTTGCTGATCTTTCTTCCTGGACTGGAACCCAGAACTCTCTATGACAGCGAGTACCAGAGGCCAGTGGAGGAAAATGACAGACCTAAAGCAGCTTGTGGCCGCTGGACAGAGTAGCTCTTCCTACTGCAATGAAATGTGAAGCAGCCTTTTTTTGAAAGGGTGTTGATTAGCAAGAGATGCATGAAGTACAGCATGAAATGGTCAAGGACGATGCCAAAAGGAGGATACTGATATGCTGGACTAAACAGAGGCCAGTGGGTGTTGTGCAAGATTCTCCCCCCCCCCCAATATTGCAAATTATTTCCTTTCATAAAAGTTCAGAAAATTAATTCCAAGCGTGGGGGGCAGAGCACAATTTCCCTCGGAAGTAGGCAAATCTGGCAGAGCAGCTGCAGAAAGGGGGCTGACTATGGGATTGAATTCTGTGGCTGTACCATTCTGGGGGATGCTTGTCTGGGGGCTGGGAGGATTGGTGGGGGGGGGGCGAAGGCATGGCAAACCAGAGGGCTGTATTAGCTGTTAGGTTAGCAAATGGACACCTGACCTATGGCAGTTGACTCAAAGGGTGGCTTAGCATGATATGCAAACCGTGTTACGTTTTACTATACATCCTTTGCAAAATAACCCTTCAGCCTGATTGGTGGACATGGGGCAGACTTGCTCCACGTTCTTCCTGCATTTTAGCCAGCCAATCAGTTCTTGATAATCTGTTAACCTGAATTCGTTTTGGACCTGCTTGTGTCTTTGTGTGTTTCTTGTTTAATACACTAACTACTTCTGTTTAAATTTCCAAATTCCTACTTCGGTATCATCAAGCCTTTTCAGTGACTTCTTTTGACATTTTGTAAAAAGACACTGCGCGTTGCTTCAAGGGGGTGGGTTAGCAGTAGCCTTCCCAGCCATGTCAGTGCAGCTCAAATGAGGTGCTTCTGGAAATAATCACTTGCACCAGATTTTCTACAAACCATGAGAAACTTTATGTGCATAAAAAGTTCTTCATGGGGTGTCTCTTTCTTAAAATTTTAGGTGCCGGAGAAGCAGATTTCACCCTCCTACTACACCTGATTCTTCTGAGCTCAAGAAAAAGCTTCAGGAGGTCTCCTCCGAGAGTGCAACCCTGCAAGCAAAACTGAGGACATTCAGAGGTGCGAAATGTCATCTCTGAGGCTGCCAGGCTGGTGTGACATTGTTCAGGCCGTCAGGAGGTGGAATCACATGTCACAGCATCCCGTCCGGCAGAGAAGCCGCGTAGGGTGGGATGTTTGCAGAACGAGCCTAGGTGTGCCCCACAGGTGACCGTGCTCACCACGGGTTGTCTCCTCCACTCCTTCCCGGGTCTTTTGGCAGGTATCCCCAAGGAACCACAGCAGGACGCATTTTATCAGCCTCGTGTCATGAGCGCAAGCCTTTTTGTGCTTTCCCCTCCTTTCTTCTTTTCAGGAGATCACTTTTTGTGATCTTTGAGTTGACTACTAATGACGGATTCCCATGGTTTTTGAAAGGGACGTATGTTTTATGTCTGCAAATGCCCCTTTCAAAAAACCCTTGACTAGCCCTGTCAGCAAATCTCATTTAAAAGGAACTGGAGTTTAGACAGCTAACTTCTGTGCTCCCATAAAAAGGGTATCTTTTCCACATCCCCAAGCACCAGGAGTCTTGGGAAAGGGTGGAAAAGATGAGACACCTATAGGATCTTTCCACAAAGCGGCTTATCTGCTGTCCACCTCCTTTTGCAAGTAAAGGTCACTTGCAGCTTTTTGTCAATTTGTCTTTTGACAACTGTCAGAGGAAAGCAGAATAAAAAATTCTCATAGCTCCCAGCATTCTCTAACTTTGCTATCCTAATGCTTGCTGGGAATTATAGGCCCGTTCCCCCACTAAACACTCATAGGGTAACACCCTTAATTCCATTTTACTGTCACTGAAATTAGTGGGATTATTTTGTTGTTACTAATTTGTTATATTGATATCAGCAGGATGGATGGATGGATGGGTAGCTTAGTCTGGATTCAGCCCAATAGCATCACATCTTGTGCCTGATGAATGGAGTGAAGGTCTTGTGAACATAAGGGCCAAATTGCTATAATAATTTGATGCATGCTCAAAATGTGAGAGGAAGAGCTCATACTCTTCAAACACAGAGACAAATACATGATATTAGACTTGTGCTTGAAGAATTGCCAATTTCCAGGATATTGACAGTTTTGTATGTATATATGCAATGAATGTCTATATTATCATCACATTTACATCCTGCCTTTTTTATCCCCACCCTTTGGGATAGGGTAGGCTGAGAGCAAGGAACTCACCCAAAGTTACTCAGTGAGCTGCTTAGCAGAGTGAGGACTAGAACCCTGATCATCCAAGTCCCCAGTCCAACAATATTCTAGTCTCTACAGATACACTGATAAATATATTAATTAACAACAGATGATTCCAGGTATGTTTATTCTCTTTCTCTCTTCTTTTAGAGACTCTAACAGAACCAAAGTGGATAAAAGGTTAGTTTCTACAGAATGTGGATAAGAACAATAAAGGGACTTCCCTAGGCGGCATCTTGGTTTAGACATACTGTCACATTGGGACTTGGTGCCAGGCAAGAGCAAACCTAGAAGGAACTGGGGGTCAGACTAGATGGCCCAGGAGACCCCTTCTGACTCACTCTGTTTCTGTTTCTATGGTCTCTTGTACGCACCCCTTGTGCTGAGCAATTAGTTCCTGATTTTTGGAAAGGGGAAGAAAGGAAGGCACCAATACCAGAGTACAGATGAAGTCTTAAAGGTGCACAAAAAAAGAAAAAATGAGGTGCAAATTTAGTCAAACATGTCCTGCAACTTCCAGCAGGCCTCAGCCAGTGTAGCTCAGTGGGGCATGCTGGGAGTTGAAGGCCTTTTTTCTGTCCAAGCACACAAAGAAGTGTGCCCTAAGGTTTCATGTACCTTTGAGACTTCTTTTCGTGGGGAAGTTAACTACATATCTCTAAAATGTGCTGTGCAGGGTTTTTTTTGTCAAATTTCTATTATTTTCTCTATAGATCCAACACTAAAACAACAATTATTCAGGACATCGGACATATTGGGTTGACATCTTATTCTTTTTTACAGTCAATAAAACCATATTCAGTTCTATGCATAGTCCCGTTTCTCTAACCAATAATAAAAAGTGTTTCAAGTTTGATAGAAGTATGTATCTTCCTTCTCCTTCAAAGACAAGGTCAATCTGTCCATCTCCACGCAGTTCAAAATTTTTTTTTAAATCAACTCTTCAGTAGGTGGCTCTTCACTTCTCCAGTGTTGGGCAAATGCAATCCTTGCCACAGTAATTATATGTAAAGTCACATATATAGCTTGTTTATCGAAGTCATCAGGAATAATACCTAATAGAAAAACTTCAGGTTTAAATGTTAAAGGTTTTTGTAGGATTTCCTCAAGCCATCTGTGTATTTTAGCCCAGTATTTTTTGGCCTTAACACAAGTCCACCACATATAATAAAAAGTACCAGGTTTGTGTTTACATTTCCATCTATTTGACATATTTGGAAACATTTTTGCTAATCTATTTGGCAATAAATACCATCTGTAAAACATTTTATAAAGGTTTTCTTTATATGACTTTGCTAAGGTTATCTTAATATTTCTTTCCCACAGCTTTTGCCATTTCTATAACTCAATATTATAACCAAAATTTTGTGCCTATATTATCATAGTTTCCTTAACTTGTTCATCTTCCATTTTCATATCCAAAAGAAAATTATACAACCTTTTAATCATTTTTTCATCTGATTTTAAAATCATTTCATCAAATGCTGTTAGTTCCTTATAAAAAAACCATACATTCTATAGTCTTTAAATATCTCAATTGTATTTGAATATTGTGCCACCAAGAAAGATCAATACCCTGCTCCTGTAGTTCTTGATTCGGCTTCACTTTTACATCATTATCTAAAATATCATCATATCTCACCCATCTTTATCTGCAAAAATATATTTCGGATCCAATTTTTCTTTAATATATAAAGCCAAACCTCTTTTCTTTTGATGAGCGGAAGATATAAATAACTTGCCAAGTTTGGATGTTCCAAAAGTTTATGGTGTTGTCTTTTTATATGTGTTTCTTGTAAACAAATTACATCTAGTTTCAGTTTTTGGAGTTGAGAAAAATACCTTTTCCGTTTAGAGGGTGTGTTTAATCCATTTATATTGAGAGAAAACAGTTCAGTTCTTCCTTCCATTTTAAGAGCAGTATTTATAAAATATATGTATATCTATTTGTATTTAGCCTTCACGCTTCTACCTCTTCTCTTTTCTTTGGTTCCAATGACTGTTCGTCCTCTTGTTGGTCTGTAGTTACTATTTCTCCTTCTTCTGAATGGAAAGTTGTTACAGCCAGTGCCTTGCAATTTTTCCTTCTTTCCTTTTCTTCAGTCCGCTCTTCATCTTCAAATGAAGTTTTAAATTTTTCATAAAATTCTTGGGCTTTGAAAATTGACTCCAGTCTAAGTCTTGTGGAATTTCAAGTGAAAGATATCCCTTCTGGTATTATCCATCTGAACATAATTATTTTCTTTATCAACTTGGAAGTGAGAAATTGATGCTTCTTCTGTCCTTCTCTGATTCTCCATGGTATTTGTTTCAGAACAATCACCTCACATTCATCATCAAATTTTAATGGTTTATCATGTGACGCTCTGAGGACGTGGTCTCTTACAGATCTTTTTGTAAATTTAACATGAACTTCCCTTGGAAGTTTATGCCTTCTAACATAGCTTGAGTTAACTATATAGACCAGGTCTATCTCTTTATCATTCTCTTCCTTTTCCAAGTCAAGAGCATCTGCTAACATAGTATTTATTAAGTCACTTAGGTTTTCATTTTTTGCCTCTGGTATATTTTGAAATCTTAGATAGTTAGACGCCTTTCCCATCTCCAGTGTAGCAACTGAATCCCATAGAATCTCTTTATCCATCTCTTCAGTTTTCTTATCAATATCATCAGTCTTCTTTTCCATTTCTTGTATTTTTTGTTCATTTTGTCCTATTTTGGATCAAATATCTGTAAGTTGATTATTCATGTCCGAAAGTCTTTCAGCCACTTTTTGAATGGCATTTTGAATAAACTCTTGAGATGCTTGCAGTGCTAAGAGTGCCATCTGTAGGTCTTCTTGAAGTTTTTCCAATCCATAGCTTTTGGTTGATGTACTGGGCTTTGCGACGCAGACCTAGGTGCCGATGATGTTGCATGAGTCTTTTTCATGATGAAAATAAAAAATTTATTCAGACTATTGAAGTGGTCTGTTATGGCACTTGTTGTTGTTAGTCACAAAGTCATGTCCGACCCATTGCGACCCAATGGACAACATTCCTCCAGGCCTTCCTGTCCTCCACCATCCCCTGGAGTCCACCTAAGCTCACGCCCACTGCTTCAGTGACTCCATCCAGCCACCTCATCCTCTGCCGTCCCCTCCTTCTTTTGCCATCTATTGTTCCCAGCATCAGGCTCTTCTCCAGGGAGACCTTCCTTCTCATTAGGTGGCCAAAGTACTTGAGTTTCATCTTTACTATCTGGCCTTCTAAAGAGCAGTCAGGGTTGATCTCCTCTAGGACTGACCGGTTTGATCGCTCGCAGGAGTCTCCTCCAGCACCATACGAAGTGGCAGTGAGGAGTCACAAAAAGATTTTAGGTAGGCTCTGTACCTGTTATAGGACAAAATGGCCACAGGGTGGCAACAAAGAGTTATTTGTCATTATAACAAAAGAGATACTTTCTTTTTCATGCATGAACTCCAAAAAGAGTCAGATTGCCATGTCTCTGAAAGAGATGCACAGAAATGAAACAAAGAGAAATCTCTTTTCTACCGGTTAATGTACAGTAAGCTCAAACTTGATTTTGCGCCCTTGGGGAGATTAAAAAACAGAAGTCTCTTTTTTTTCCAGATTTCAAATTTCCCCAGTTTCAGTTGATCTCCCCTAGATTTGTCGCAGCTTAAGCTCTGCGGGGGCGGAGGGAGTTTCCTCCCTCTGGGAAAGGGTTTTTTTTTTATTGGTGCTTGTTTCACACGTACTTTTAAGGGCAGTATTTTAGGAAGATTATTTGCTCACCCAGCAGGTCCGATGTCCACTTTTAAGTTTTCCTTCTCTGTTAAGCCGGTGCTGACAGCTAGTAAGTGGGAGGTTCACCCCTTTCAGAAGTTCAATTCACTGAGAATCCACAAGCTTCCCCTGGTGTGTGGGGGACCCCTGCCCCCCACAAGCCAGAAGTGTGCCCAGACTTCTAATCCCTGCTCCGACAGGGCTTGGATGGGCCTCCCAAGGCCCTCTGTAGAACGGATTCCGGGATTCCGGCATGAAGTACGGAGCTCCCGTTCTTCGCTGCCGATCTCGCTGCAACATCAACCGGAAGAGCTGTGCTGTGCAGTTTTTATGATGAGACCTTGGTGGTATGGCAACATGGTCGCAGACTGCCCAGAGAGCTTCTGCTAATTTTCATAAATAAAGAATGTTATAAAGGATGAGAATTCCTGCATTATGATGCTTTCTTTCTAAATGCAGTTGTTTTATTTAAAAAATAAATGGCAAAGGGGAGTTCTATGAGACATGTGTAACCCTGCTCTGTAGAGCAGCCAGTCTTACTGTTGATTTTTCTGCACCAAAATTGCATTTTTCCAGCCCTACTTTGGTTTGAGTGATAAGCAAATGTGATAATGTTGCCTTCTCGATAACTTGTGCCACATTAATTCTTTCTGGTTGTTTGAAAAACTGATCCTGTGCAGCGATCCTTAGGCTGACTGTCACCTTTGTCCTTTCTCAGAGAACGTGACTCTGGACTTGGCAACGGCTCACCCTCGGTTCATTGTGTCCCCTAACCAGAAAAGTGTCAGGTGGGGCACCGTCCGTCAGGAGCTGCCCTATAATGCCAGGCGATTCGACCCTTCCCGCTGTGTGCTTGGCTGCCAAGGGTTCTCCTCAGGGAGGCACCAGTGGACGGTGGATGTGAACTGTGGGACCTCCTGGGCTGTGGGCATAGCCAGGGAATCCGTCCAGAGGAAGGGACCCTTCAACATCGCCCCGGAGGAGGGAATCTGGGCATTGGGCTTTGGCAATGGACATTACAAAGCTCTGACATCTCCTCCTACCGTTCTGAATCAAAGCAAATATATGACAAAGATCCAGATTAGTTTGGACTATGAAGGACGCTCAGTGGCTTTTTTTGATGCTGATGAAAAGAAGAGCCTCTTTCTCTTCTCATTGCCCAGGCTGAAGCCAGATAAAATCTTTCCTTTCTTCCGTGTTGGTGACATGAACACCATCCTTCATCTGTGTTGACTTCTCTGTGGTGTGGGGGGCTTAACCTGTGAGGTCAGTGTCGGCTCCTTCAACACATTCACAAGTATGAGCATGCTCTCTTGACTTGGTACAGCAGAGCTTCAGCTTTGCTAATGGGGGCTGTCTTTTAATTTGTCTTGACAATCCCCTATATATTTTAAATCTATATATTTTAATTGGAACTGAAGGTAAAGAAATTGCTGTTCTCTTTGACACTGTCAACGAAGGGCTAATCAAATGAACCTTCTGCTTATTACTGCAGGGTAGGGCTTGTACTATCTGTAGCTTAATTGACTACCTGTAGCAAGATCTCTCACTTTTAAAGATTGTTGTGTTTTTAAGAATTAGGCTGGGAAAAATATGGAAAAATCAAATGTGTGAATCAGGGTACAATGTACACCATTTAAAACTGTTAGCACATGTAATTTTTAACAGGTTACTTTATTCGCCCCTAGATTTCCTTTTACTCCGAGAAAGATTCCAGTGTATAGCATACACAGATCTTTTAACAGCTGTGAATGGTGCATGTATTTTAAATTACAGCCTTTCTTAGAAAATCTACTGAAACAATGATGAGATTAGGATCAAGGTGCAACCCTTAGGTATCTTGCTGTGCAAAGTGGCAGTTGTGTGCACCATGGACAACAGGTATCAGGCACATGTATTTTGCATTGGGATATTTGTGTCCAGATAAAGCAGTATTGTCAGACACAGCCAGAAGTCATGGCTGTGTATAGTAGCTTATCCAAGCCAGAGTGAGAAGAAAGAATTAAGACTAAAAGATTTATAGAAAAGTAGTATATGTTTTCTTTTGTAAATAGAAAGATAAAATGGATCCACTTTGTTTTAATTGATACGTTTCATACATTCCTATATTCTAGAAGTGTTTTTAATTGCAGGCCTTTTCTGTAGAATAAAAGCTTATCCAGGTTAACATGTCTAATTTAAATAGACACACACCCTGCTTATTTTGAGCTGTATATTTTATTTTTCTATTCAAGTCATGGATGAAAATATTTAGACAAATTAACTTGCTGCCTTATCTGTGATTTGAAAAATGAATAAACGTTGACAATTTGTCATTAAACTTATAATAACTTGTTATCATTCACAGTTCTACTGCATTTCACAATCAATCCCTTTCATGTAATTGATTTGTATTTGCTTTACTCTTGTTTCATGTACATGCTGGGTTTTTCTTTTTTGTAATGTAACTGTTTCATGATTTCATTTTTTCTGTCCCTTTTTGATATACATGAGTATTTGGGACAAATTCTGATGTAGCTGTAATTGCAGGAAGAAACTTGCTGTGATGTAGTTGTGCTCAGATGATCCTCTGAACGTTTCCTGGTAACCTGAACCGGCCATCCTTGTGTACAACCTTTTTGGTTCCAAAGGCTAAACATCATCTTGGCTTGGGGTGTCACATGCCCCACCCAAGATTACTGGGGGAGGAAGCAGAAGAGAAGGCACAGTGATGAAGTATTGGGGGGCGGGGGGAGAGCTGGTAGCAGTGGGGGCTAGAACCACCCACAGGGGCCATGTTTCATGCCTGAGTTGTGGACCCCTGACCTGGCTTTTTGTAGTGGTGGTCCTGGGATCAGTTGGCAAAACTAGATGCTCGACATGGTGATTACACATCAACTTACGGACTAGCTAGCTGTGTGCGTACAATCCAATGTATTGCAGAAGAACATCTTGTACTGCAGACTGTTTCCATCCAAGGTGCTTTAATACTGTTTAGGATCAAGACTTCACTCTATGCATGTTTAAAGGTTGGAATTGGTCATATATAACCTGATCCTGTCTAATCCTGGAAGCTAAGCAGGGTTTGGCCTGGTTGAAATCTGAATGGGTGACTTAAATATTGTGGACCACCCAGAGAGCTTCAGCTATGGGCAGTATAGAAATGAAATTAATAATTAATGTCTACATTTTATTGTTCTTAATAATTTAGAAAAGACCCAATTAAATGATTGGCTGAGTTATCCCATCGATGGCATTAGGTCTAAGCATAATTATCTAAGCCCAACCCCTTTTCCTACTCTTATTTCTGAATAGAAAAACTTTGAACTACAAGTGCTGATCTACCTAAAGCCATGAGCCAAGAATGCAGGAAGTTGCATGCACTCAAGAGACATTGCACAGCAGACCTTCATGTAAGATCTGCTGGCACTGTAGATTGAACCTGGCCAGATCTTCCCATGAAGCTGATCAGTGGAAGATGTAGAACAGAAGAAAGGAAGCAGGTCACACAGTGCATAGACTGGCATTCACTTCCACAAGATACAGTTATGGCCACTAAAAGTGAGCCGTCCCGAGATGCCTTGCACGGGGGGCAGCATAAAAAGATGAATGAATGAGTGGGGGTGGGACAAATTCCTGGAGGATGGTCTCTGTAGTGACTAGTCCTGACGGCTCCGCTAGCTCCAGCATCGGGGGCACTTTGCCGAGGCACACCGGCAGCTGGTGAGCTTGGGTGGAAGGCTGCTGCTGCACTCAGGCCCTGCCTGTGGGTTTCCTGTGGGCAGCTGGTTGACCACTGCAAACAGAACCGGGTAGCATTTAAGAAAAAAGATCCATGGCACTGATCGCGTAGATGATAGATATGGGTAAAATATACTATGATTCTTCAAAATAGTCGTGCCCACACTTTGACCCCAAATATCCATCTGTAGAGATAAAAAGCAGGTTTCATTAAATTCTCCACCTGCTCTGTTATTACAGGTAGCTGTTTATCCTTCCATGGTCGTGATGCTAGTCATTTAGCTTCCAAGGGACCATGGAAAATCCATTTACATTGATCTTTCTTCAGATTCTAAGAGATGGGTTGGTTTCAAAAAACATGCAGCCTTGAATATTAAAGAACTTACACTCACAAGATTCATCCAAATGTATTATCTTCTCCTGAAAGGAAGTGCCTTTGAGCATTACCAAAATGCACAATGAGAAGCATTAGCAGTGTTGCACTGAAGATACATAAATGCATAAGCTTTGCTGCATGTGTGTGTGCTCTTGTTCAGCTTGCACTAGAACATCTTCGATTTGGCTATTTCCTGCAGAGACGGAAACTGCCTTGAAACCACTTCTATGAGATATGGTTGTGTTTTTGTCTAGTGTCTGACTTTGTTTTCTGAACTGCTCTTCCTGGGAAGAGGTGCTGCCTCCACCCAGACCTTTGTCAGTCCTGAGATGGTCCCTCTCATGTCAAAAAAAGGACCAGGCTATGCCAAGCCATAACCCTGAACAATACATTTCCCTGACCAGGTATTTTGGATGCATCTTGCTGCAAAATAGTCAGCTGAGATGCAATCCGTCTGTGCAAACATGCATATGTGGCAGGGGGAGAACAGCCTGCGTCTATCTACTGCCCCTTGCTCTCTCTTCTGGGCCAATAACTTTTTGAATGAAGGCTTTTCTGCATGTGGCATTTAATCTGGCTGCTGGCTGCTTCCTCTTTCTTTACAGCATCCTCCAGATGAGTTTTCTTTCTTAGGATTTCCCTCTGCCTTGTTCTCTGCTCCTATATATTTCCTGCTGGTGCTGTGATAGAGTGGAACTGTAACTTTACACCATCTTCTGTAGCAAATACTGGTGTCATCCATGGAAAAGACTGCATTGTCCTCCCTCTAAAAAGTGTGAACATAGCTAGAAACGATGGGAGAGGTCTGGGGGAAGGACTGTGTGATGAGAAGATCCCACAAGCTTGAATGAGTGAGGGCTCATCCATGCTCAGCATATTTCACACTATTTAATGTGGGTGAGAATTACCCAAATGTTGCAGAACAACTATAGCCAAAACAAAGCCTGGAAAGAGACAATCTGGGCAAGGAGCTTTATGTTTTTCTTGCAAAACAAAAGAGGGAGTGATCTTCATTTGTACTTTCTGCCTGTCCAAGGCTCACAGTGGTTTGTCCAGAATAAACTGCTGTAGATTTCTCAGACTTGTTGATCTCTCTCCGGACAAAGAATGTTGTTGCCTTTATGAGCCAGATGCAGTCCTACACTGAATACGGCTAGATTATTGAGTGTCAGATCCTGCAAGAAAGAGGCCAAATAGATCGAAGAAAAGCAAACCAGCAATATTTATTAAGAATACAGCACACATGGCTGCCAACATATTATTCACGTAAGGCAGAATGTCTTGGAACTGCACAGTACCTAATTAGAAGAATGCTTTTACTGTTTACCCCATCAGCTCTCAACTTTCTCATCTATCTTCCAAAGGGCCGGAATTTCCCTCCCTCTGTTCATCCCTTATCTAAGGACAACCCTTTCAAGATGCAGCTCAAACACTCATCCTTGGCCTGGTTCCTTCTTGCGCTCTCTTATCTAGGAGCCCTTCTCCTACAGCTACCTAACTCCCTAGTCTTCTCTTTAACCCTGCATTTATCAGAGCAAAGGAGACACCATTTTCCCCCACACTAATATCACTCATGGGGTACCAGCGTGTCCGTCGTCCTTGCCTCTTGTATGCGTATTTCCCCTCCTTTCTCTTTCACAGCTATTGTGGTGATACTGTTACATCTACAGTGATGGTAATAACTAATCAGGCTCGGCTCCAAGCCGCATTCTGCAAATCCTGTTCTAAGTGTGGCTGTGAATTCTGGTTTGAAAGGAGCTGTGGCTAGCATGGCTGTCAAAACTGTCACATGGCTCCTTCCTGGGCATGGCTACAATGAGCTGAGAGCTATGTAAGTTGGTGGGGCATGTGAGTAGATGGGGAACAGAAGGAGCAAGGATTAAGAGGCAACCTGCCTCCCCCTCCTAATCCGTCCTGCTTTATGTGATTACAAGAACTGGAAGGGGAAAGTGCTGGCTGGTCGGGAAGCAACAGTGGATCAAATCATTTGAGGCTGCTTCCAGCGATTCACTGGACTTGAGCCAAGGTTATAGTGGTCCAACTTATGGCCAGAATTTCATGTCAATTTGGAGCTGAGCCCAGAAGTGAGCACTGGAAATTCCTAACTTCATGCATGCTCAGTATTCTTAATGTTGCAATTGTCTCACCAGTCACATAAATCTTTTCATTCATATCAGCAGCTTCTCAAAAGTAAGTAGTTTCTTTTTCAATGAGCTTCACAGCTGCATCGAGACTAGATCCCAGATCTCCTGAGTCCCAGTCCATATACTCTTTACCACTACACCACACTGGCTATCTTAATGGGTATTTGTATTTACTGATTTTATTGGACTGTACTTGTGCCGTCCTCACTTATAAACCTTCAGAATTGGACTGATGTGTATTTTTAAACGATTCAGATCCTGCCCCACCTTAATTTTACTATGTATTAAACTGTTTATGTCGTCCTTTCAAAGCAATTTGCAAATCTTTAAATTATAAAACCAATGTTTATTTGCCAGGAAAAAGTCCATATGGACTGCAGAATGCTGGAAATTGTAGGACTGTTTCTGTCTAAACAAGCTCAGGATTACACTTCCAAAGTAATGTAGAAAACAAAAAGAATTGGGAGGGAGAAAGAAAAAAGCGAATTCAGATGCTCAATTTCTGGTGATAAAGCTCAGCATGAACTGATGAGGCAGTCAGGGGGTCTAACTGCAGCTTGCTTGCCTTTTGATGGCCTCAGCAAGTAGCCAGAAGGAATATGGTGTGCTGTAGAACATGCAAACTTCATGCAGAAGGTGTGCTAGTGTCACGAGATCCTTCAAGTGGAAAAGATTTCAGGCTGTTTGTGGCCCTTTATTTACCCTAACCAAATCTCAGACACTGCATAGTTTGAATTAGAGGCCAGACAAAGAACACGCCTCTTTCTAGCAACATGAAAAAGAAACTGATCCTTCCCTTCAAGGTCAGAAGAAAGCGCCATGGCCACTGCAAGCCCAGCACAAAGCCTCCAGCAGGAAGGTTTTTGTTCGATCTGTATGGAGTTTTTTGAGGATCCAGTGGTGGTCACTAATTGTGGGCACGGTTTCTGCAAAGCCTGCAGCACCAAGTATCCGCAGGTTTCTGATGAACATCTCCCTTGCCCTGAGTGCAGAAAGGAGTCTTCCTTGAGAAATATCCCACACAGTGTAGGTCTTGGGAACGCAGCAGAAGCAGCCGAGCAACTCCACCTGCATCTGGAGAAGA